TTGGGGGGGGGGGGGGTTTGTTCTGAAGTTACTGCTTTGTTTAATGTTTGCAGAAACCTTCAGTCCAATGGTTTGACCGGAAAGTTACCTCCAGATTTCGGTAACATGAAGTACCTCAGAGAACTCCATCTGGACAGGAACAGGCTTCAAGGAAGTCTTCCTGTTACTGGAACATCACACTACTCGTCAAGAATGTAAGTTGAGAGGCAAAATATGAATAATTATCATCTATTATGGAAATGCCTATCGAATTCCTTTGTCACTGTTGGTTTTTGGCCAATCAGGGTTGCTTCAAGTTCAAACGTTACCGGATTGTGCAAGTCATCTACCTTAAAAGTTGCAGACTTCTCTTACAATTTCTTCGTGGGAAGCATTCCAAAGTGTTTGGAGTACCTTCCAATGTACTGTTCTTACAAGACCCTTGTCTACTAGGCTGTCTTGTTTTCTTTCTTCATGTCCTGTCTTCTGGTAATTTCTTATTTGTTGTTTGGGATCGTCCTAGAACGAGCTTTCAAGGGAACTGCTTGCAAAACAAGGATCCTAAACAGCGACCTCCTACCCAATGTGGTAAGATATGATATGAGTCTCAATACATTACATTTGAAAAGTTCTCTGCAAATGTTCTTTAGTTTCCATAGTAACGTTGTTCTTGGCAGGCGGTGCTCCACTGGTTAAAACTCGTCAAAGTCCTAGCCCTACCCTTAAGCACCGGCCAGCTGAAACCGAGTCCAAGCATCATAAAGCATCGAGACCCTCATGGCTTCTGGCTCTCGAGATAGTCACGGGATCAATGGTCGGTATCTTTCTCTTGGTTGCAGTCTTCTCTGCAATTCACAGGTGCAACAATAGGTCTTCTCTCATCATTCCCTGGAAGAAATCAGCAAGTGAAAAGGAGAAGTTCACAGTATACACAGGTTTAAGACTCTTCGAAAGATTCCACCTTTCAATACAAACCCGGCAATCATACTTATGGAGCAAAAGTAACAGATCTGTCTTTCTATTGCAGATTCTGAAATGCTGAAGGATGTAAGAAGATTCACAAGGCAAGAGCTTGAAGTGGCATGTGAGGACTTCAGCAATATCATTGGTTCTTCTGCTGATAGTCAGGTCTACAAAGGAACAATCAAAGGAGGAATGGAGATTGCTGTGATATCTCTGTGCATCAAAGAAGAAGATTGGACTGGCTACCTCGAGCTTTATTTCCAAAGAGAGGTGTCGATCTTTGTGTTTATTCTCATCCTGTCTTGCCCGAAGAACGTCAGTAAAAACCTGACCGTTCTTGGCCATTTATTGTTCAGGTTTCGGATTTAGCTAGGCTCAACCATGAGAATGCGGGAAAATTACTCGGATACTGCAAAGAGAGCACACCATTCACAAGGATGCTTGTCTTTGAATACGCATCAAATGGAACACTTTATGAGCACCTACACTGTAATAACCAGACATCCTTTGAGCTGTGCTGTCTTCATGAGTAGTTTTTGTGATACCCTCATGATGAATTCTGCTGCAGGTGGAGAAGGATCATTGTTATCATGGGCAAGACGCATGAAAATCGTTATAGGAATTGCTCGTGGTCTGAAGTACCTTCATACAGAACTCAATCCTCCATTCACAATCTCTGAGTTGAACTCCAACGCAGTATATCTCACTGAAGATTTCACTCCTAAGGTATTGTTATATTGGTCCATTCTTGACAAAACATTACCTCAACACCCACTAGATTTAGTCTCTGATTTCTTAACAAGTTTTCTATCTGGCATCTGCTGCAGCTGGTTGATTTCGAGTGCTGGAAGACGATTCTCGCAAGATCGGAGAAGAACTCGAGAAATATCAGTAGCCAGGGTGCTATCTGTGTACTCCCTAACGCAATGGAACGTCGATATTTGGATGTGCAGGGAAATATCTACGCGTTTGGTGTTCTTTTGCTGGAAATTGTCAGTGGAAGACCTCCTTACTGCAAAGACAAGGGTTGCCTCGTTGAATGGGTAAACCCCCAATCCCTCCTAAGATCCCTTCCTTCCTATATTGATGGCATTAATACTAAGCAAGATTCAAACTTTGGTTCTTTAACCAAATGGGTACACCATTAGCTGCTCAGGAAGGATTGTATAATTTGGCTACGTGGTCCTTTTGGAGACTTTGTTTCCTGGGTGCAAAGATCGTCCTACTCACCTGTTTTTGATGACTAAAGTTTTGAACTTTGCCGTGATGAAACCAATGCGGGTGTGAATTGCAGGCAAAGGAATTCATTGAAGTGCCGGATGTGATGGGGAATTTGGTGGATCCGGAGCTGAAGCACTTCAAGCAGGAAGAGCTGAAGGCTATATGTGAAGTGACCAGCCAATGCATAAACCCAGACCAGGACAAGCCTCTGCCTCCATCAATGCAAGACTTCTGCGAGATGTTGGAGAGCAGAATCAGTCTGTCAATCTCTGCAGAGCTCAGGTCTTCTTCTTTGGCCTGGGCCGAGCTTGCACTTGCCTCGTGATGAGTTCAAGATCCTGAGGAGAAAGAAGAAGAAAAAGACTCCATTGCTAACTAAGCCAACTCTGTAAATCAATTAATGGTGTTTACATTCATGTCTTTTTGATTTGACAGTGTTCAACCTCGGTTTTTTTCCCGGGTCTGGGGTATGTTTGTATGTAGAGGAGAGGATATTTGGTGAAAAGGGAACATAGAGGTAAGACTCTGTGTACTTAGTGAGAAGTATGTGATGTTGAGAAATGTTTTCAGGTCAAACAGTTGATATATAAACATATGGACGTGTGTGTGATATAAGCATATGCTAAAACAATGCCAAAGCAATGGACTGGCTTCCTTCTTTTCCTTTGCTTTTGTTTTACAACTTCACCACAATACCGAACCAACCCGGTTTGGTTCAAATTGATCCCAATTTTCTAGGTTTATAGTTCACAAACATGATCTGAAAACTTGCATAGTTCAATCATTCAATTCCTCTGATTAGAATGCATAACCAAATGTATAACGTTTTTACATCTTAGATCGGAGTCCCTGCTTAGAGCCAGTTCCAGTCTCCCTTTGCTTCTGAATTCTTTCTTTGGCTTTGAAAAGGATCTCATGAACTTCATCAAAGTGTGGCATGGTAACGTTTCTCGTATTCTCGATCCATTTCTGAACTTTCTCATAGGGACCGAGCAATCTAAGTCGATCTTTTTCCTCCAAAACCTGCAAAACCAAACGAACATCAGAGTCAGAAGTCGAATGAAACTACATTTAAAGTTTTTTAATCGGCTAGTTGGAATCCAAAATAAGTCCCCAAGGTCTTTCTATTCGGTTGATCAACAGCAACTTAAATACCTGCAGCTGCATTAGTTCACAGACAAGGCTCAGATCAGCTATGGATGGTTGGTTGCTGCTGAGCAAGAACTTGCTATTACTGCCCTTGAGCCAGAAAGTCTCTAGCTTGGACAGAGACTTAGATAGCAACTTCTCGGCTTCAGCTGCTGCTCGTGGGTTCAAAGGAAGACCGAGGGATGGAGCTAGCACGGTATTCAGAACATATCCGGCTGAAATAATAAGTGTTTTTCAGCGGATAAACATGTACACAGATGTTTATTGGCACTCTTAATTGTTTCTATAGCTGTTTTAATATCAATATTGATTGAACAAGGTGTGAATAGAGATCCTAGAGGAATATAACCATAATCCGCACCTGCACCAGCACGTAAATTGGAGTGGTGCCAATCCAAGACCGAGTGAATCTTGGCCCTCTTGGAAAGATCGTTCGGATACCTAAATTCAAAATGTGAAACTGTTTCAACATTATAAGATCATACTGAGCATCAAGACAACTGACAGAAAGTATAGCTCACCAATGGTCAGGGATACCAGGAAATGCTGATGAAAGGTAGATCAGGATGGCGTGACTGCAACCGCAAATTATTAGAAGGTGAATAGAAGTAGATACAATGGAGTGAAATAGTAAGCAACACAAGAGTTATCACTTAGACTCGTCAAGCATGTTGAAGAAAAAGACCCAATGACGTGAAAAAAAAAGAAGTCTTTTTATTCCTCTGCTATCTATTTCCTTATACGGTTCTACCCTGCCATCTGCTGAAATAAAGGGAAGAAATTATATCGAGCACCTCTCGAAGAGCTTAAATCTGCCATCAACAATAGCCGGCACCTTCCCCATCGGGTTAATTTCTGGAAAACACGGCATCCGAACACTGAGTCAGAAGTAGAATCATCATGAACAGGATGCAGCTTCCACTAACTAGTTCATTCTCGAAGAGTCAAATGCAAATAGAGACACACACACGAACGTAAGATGAAATCTATTAAAAGTTGCAATAGATCAACAAAACATTATACTGCAGGCTCGAACTGCAATGGTATCGAGCTGATCACGCTGTAATGATGCCTATCAGCTTTTCATATCTTCGTCCATGTTTTAGTGGGAGCATGCACTTATAATAACCTCAATTCATTCACCTTCAACATTTATTACTGTCATAGATTCTGAACAGATGGGTTCACCATATTGTAAGCATTTCCAAGTTTCAAACACATACAAAAACATATCTAATCCATGAAACTTACATCACTCAGATTTGACAAAGTTAATTACAGATGATCAATCCAACTACTCGGTTACCCATTAAACGACAAACACCCATATGAAATCTCATACTCTCTCAAGTCTTATCAGATTTTTGGTAAATAAAAAAAAAATCTAGACTTTAAGACGCAAAAGGGGGAAAAGGTGATGAACCTTTGAATTCTGGGGATAAATGCTTACGCTTCGCCAAGGATAACACGACCTCCTCGAACTCGATTCCATTAACCCTAGGAAAAAAAAGTTGTAGAAATTCATACAACCCACAGAGAAATACCCTAATTTTTTCAATGGAAGTGTGAAAACAACGAAATTACTTGCAGAAAATGATGACCGCACGAGACGGCTGAGACATCCGATCTGAATACACTTTAAGCTTCATCTTCTTCTTCTTCTTCTTCTTCTTCTTCTTGCTTCAGCTATGGCGGTTCTGTTGTGGATCACAACTCGATAGGGGTAAAATAATCTGGGGGAAAATGCCCGACCTCACGAACAAAACGGATTGATGTTTTTGCATTAGGGAGAGAGATTACGTGCCGTTTTTCACGCTAGAAAACGGTTTGAGAATGAGAAAACCCCTTTTTTTTCTTATTAAAAAAAAAGCATGACTTGACATAATTCATTAAATCGAAAATTAATTAAGGAAGAACTAAAAAGAAAAAAAAAACTTAATTCATGAAAACAAAATTCTCTCAGTTTCAAAATTTGAACCCTAACTTTTCCATTTCTCTGCTTCAAGAAAAAAGGAAACATCATTCAATTTCACGAAATGGAAACAACATTCATTCAAAATTCGAGAGAGAGAAATGGAAAATCTCCTCAATAAATACCCTCGACGAGTACACATACGAACGAACAACATCATCTTCCCTTCTTCCACAGATAGCCTCTTGTTGCGATTCTCTCTCTGCCTTTTTTTCTTTCTGATCTCGAGGAAAGAAGAAGTAACGACAATGGCTCTTTCTGATCTCCGTCGCAGAATCTCCTTTGCATTGCCAACGATCAAAGACCGGAAACTCCGGAATCTCGTTATCGCCCACTTGTCCGCCACTGACTCTGCCTTGGAGTTCTACGAAAGCGCGAAAACTTTTCTGGGAAAAGCTAAAGACGACGAGAGAATCGCCGTGGAAGCGCTTCGCGAATTCGGAAAGGACTCGAGTGTTTCAACTCTTAGAGATGCCCTGAACTTCGAATCATGTTTCGACGATATGTCATTCATCGATGATTTCGTCCAAAAGTATAGGAATTTTCGGAAGATTATTTCGAACCTAGAGAGGCTGCTGCTAGCAATGGATTCCTCATTCTCGATCGGCAAATGGGTTTCCAGGGTGTTCTCCAGCCATCGGGAGAGACGCGAAATGCTGAGCAAGGTGAAGAGAGATGCGTTTGCTTTGAGGTTCTGTTCAAAGATGGTTCTTGATAGGGTTCATCGTATGTGCATAAGAATAGACTTTGGGGCCATGGAGATGCTCGAGGGAGAAGACAAGTTTCTGGAGGGAGAGCTTACGCTGTCAAAGATCAAGATTCAAGATTTGGAACGATGGTTGGATGTCTTTGAGAAACTTGTAGGATCCGACAAGATGTTGGAGTTTCTGACTGATGTAGACTGATTCATGTTTTTTTTTCTTGTAAAGAATTTCAACAGATAAATAAATGGATAAGAAGAAGAAGAAGATGTTTTCATTTCAGCAACTCTTTGTTCTCTTTTCTTTGAAACCCAAACAACAAAGAACAAAACTGATGTTTTGATTACGTCATGACGTCCTATATACTATTTGTAAATTATTTACGCGCGGATGAATAGAAAAATTATATAAAAAAAAACAAGGCAATGTAACAATATATTATGTACAATATACATCTAAATATATACACAATAAACGTCGGACGAAATTAAAAAAAAAGGTAATGTAAATCATCTTAAACTGCAAAGTAGTAAGGAATAAAAGTGCAGCTAAAAACCACTCTTGTTATGTAGCAAGCCACGTGCCATGGAAATTCCATTGCGTTTTTGTACGGTTTTACACAACCGGGGTGTATCCAGTGGCGGACGCAGAAAATTTTATCGATGGGGGCAACAAAATAATAGTAATAAAAATATAAATATAAATATAAATATATATTATAAAATTTTATCTAAAAATATTTAGGTTCAACAAATAAATTCTATGATTTTTTATTTTTTAAAATATATTTATATAACTCCATTTATAATTGTTTGAATTATATTTTTGATAAAATAAACTAGACAATGACTCAAAAATTAAAAATTTAATGTATTATGGGTTAGATTTTTTTAGTAAATTATCGGTTGAACTTTCTACTAAATCAAATAAAAATTCAATAAATATATATACAGATAAATTTATAAGTATAATAAACATATAAAAACAAATAAATAAAAAATAACAAAGATTATTTAAATTTACAATTTTTACAAATATTTCTTCTTTTGTTTTAGTTTTTATTTTATTATAATTAAATTGACAATATTTTTTATTTGTCTAAAAAAAGTAAAAAACTTGAAAATAGAAAATAACAAAAAAACAATAGACTAATTTTTTTTATTAACTAACATCACAAAATATATGAAAAAAATCAAATTAGTGGGGTCCGTGAAAAATTTGTATCGCCAAACTGAAACTTTGATTATATACACATTCACATTTAACCCCAAAAAGGAAGTAGAGTCTTGATTAGTGTCGATTTCTTGTAAATTAGGAGTGACCTTGACAGATTTGGTGTGATCTCTTGAGATTTATTCTTGAATTGATTTTTTTTCTCTCGTTTTACTCATGATTCTCCAACGATTAACATGATTATAGGATGCTAAACTCATTCTTAAGTGGCCGAACAATACGAAATATGACTAAGATACTTTGCCCGGATATACCTCAATATGAATCAAGTATAACTCGCAACGTAGATAAGGTGTTTTGTTTCATTATCTTTAACGTCCCCCTCAAGATTGTTTCGAGTTTTCATAAGCCAATCTTAACGAGCGAATACTTCTATGGCCCATCCATAACAAGCACTCCTTATTTCATTGTGGTTTCTCCGTTTTCAAGATCAAAGATCAGAATGTACATGGGACATAATTTTCCTCCTCAAACAGACAATTACATCAACTTAGTTAAAGAATTAGCAAAAATTCGTTTGATGATAAGAAAAAAAATGAAATTAAAGTTGTAAAAACATGTTCATAATCAAATAAGAGTAGAAAAGGTCTTTTAAATTTGATGTTCTCATTGCATTGGAATTCATTAGGTTATGAAGAATAACGTTTGTTTGATTATTAGGGTAAAATATGTCTTTTAAATGCTCATTGAAAATAAATAAGTAAATACAAAGAAAAAGTTCTTATGCGAAAGAGTCTCGTGATATTCAGTTTGAAATATTAGAAAATAAAATATAGTACGCAATGTTAGAAAAATACGGATGGCTTTTATTATTATGATATTAGTGTTGAAAAGGTATGCATATATATAGAATGAGAAACAACACAAATATGCTAATATGTTATAATATAAATATATCTAAACATTCTATATCTATAAATATGTCTATTTGCAAAAAGTTCTTTTTTGGCTAATAAAGCTTGTATATTAATATCTTTTACGCTGTTCTAATTAGGGTGGACATTTCGAGAAACGGTTCGGGTTCCGAACGAGAATAGATCGGTTCGGTTATTTCGGTTTTACAAAAATAGGTACCAATCGATTTTTATATTGTATTCAGTTCAGTTCGGTTCGGTTTCGGTATCGATTCGGTTCCGGGTTTTATTAAAAAAAAGATAGATTTCCTTTAAAAATATTCGGTTTTTCGAGATTTTTAAAGTTCGGTTCGGTTCGGTTCTGAAAAAATTCGGTTCTCTAAAAATGGTACTGTTCGGGAATTAAGAACAGTTTCGGGTCAGGAAAGTACTGTTTTTTTTTTGTTCGGTTCGGTCCGGTTCCGAAGAACCGAACTGAAACGTCCAGCCTAGTTCTAATCTAAATTTTTTTGGAATTAAACAAACTATGGGTTATTCATGTGATCTTTTTGTTTGTTTGTTTTTAATTTGAAGATTAAAAAAAAAACACGTTAAAATAAATATACTACAGGGAGGATGAATGAGAGCGTTTGGATCCTTTGTGAACGATGAAGCATTTCATATGAAAAGGGCGACAAACTGTTGGGAGCAGATTCTTTGCAAAAGATTCCTCATTGTGCTTCCATTGTCATAATTTCGAAAGCCCATCATCGAAGCTAACCTCGGTCTGACACAAAAGAGGGGACAACAATGGTAATAGAAAACGTACCCGAGTTTCTGACAAGTTGCAACTGAAAAAGATGGACACCCATATCTCTCAAGAACAAACTCGGCTGATGATTTCCATGTGAAATTTGGATCCAGAAGACGATCCCAACGGTAGTTAGCTCATCAACTGAGGGACCAGCTTCAAGGATTCAGACATAGTATCTTCCATTCACACCTACCCCTCAAAGCATCAAGTTTTGTACCACAGGTATCCCACCAAACACACACAGAAACTACGTATCTAAACCCCCAGCTTCGTATAGAAAACAGACCGAATGTTTCGCCATTTCACAACAATACCCGTCAAGAGTGCTTCCTAGGTGAAAAGAGAGCTCTTTAGACAGTTTCACGTATCCTCCCCCCTAGTCAGGACCCTGCAACCAGAATCAAGAAATCTCTCTTTATTTCCTGTACCCAGGACAAAGCAAAAGAACCAAGAACCGGAAAAGATCTTTCTGCGTCGGTCTCTTCTGAATTTTGGGGTTTGAGAAAGAGAAAGCCCCAAATTGATGATGCGTCGAGAGAATAAGGGCTCACCCACCCGAAACTGATAAACCCGCATGATCATTTTTTTCTCTCCAGTTCCTGAAGGGCCTTCTCGGCTTTCTCAGACAAACCGGCTTCAACGTGTGCCGTTGCCAGGTTGCTGTAAGTAGTCCAATCAGGAGCAAGTCTTCCATTTCTATTCATCTCCTCCAGAAATATCCTTAGTAGTAGCAGCCAAAGCCCTCTCATCCAGACATGATGTTCTCAGCCTTCATCATTTCCTGGATGATTGCTGGAACCGACCGGTCTTTGTGTAAAGGGTCATGAGGCTGTGATAAGAACGAGTTTTAGATGTCTCTGGAAGATCGACAAAGTAATTCTCCGCAGCAGCAGTTCCCCGAGCTCTGGCAACAAGGTCGAGATGGATCGCACACTGTCTTGTTCATACCTCTATCTTCCATAGCTTTGGGGAGCTAACAACAAAAGACACGAGTTCTCTATCAGGAGTGCGATAAGCCAGAGGCATAAACTGGCTAGATACCATACATCTGCTCAGAAAATGCCTGTTTCAGAGGCAAACATCCACTGAGAAACCCCCCAACAATTTCCCCATCCTTAACTATACCCATTTCTATATTCACTCAACAGTGGCCATTGACGCATCCCAAATAAATCGAAGATTCCGACGAGCATTCACTCAATGGTAACAACCATATTTCGACGGGTTTCACGTTCAGACCTTGAGTGCAGGGCAATAAAGGGGGTGGCTGCGGAGCTTGTTGATGGTGTCCCATTTGAAAACGCATTTGGAGCTCTTGAGGAACTGATTCAGCTGCTCCCCTCCGAGCTACCATCGTTGAATAGCCGATGATAAAGCTGTACCTAACCCGAACGGTTCCCCTTCAAAGCAAGAAGACGCGTCCGGACATTGGAAATCTAGCACCTGCTGCGATGAAAACAGTAGCAGAAACTGGGAAACATCATCCTCAAGGCGAATCGGTCTCTTTCGGACAGATGAGCTCCCGAATTTTCCGACAATGAAATCTTAGGACACTTTCTCCACGAACTCCAAAACATGGAAAACCCATCTGTTGAGTTGATGCTACTCTTTCTCCGATCTCCCCATCGCCATGCGATCGAATCCCATTGGGGCTTCTTCTCTGAACAAACTCCTCAGCTCGATATGCCCTAATTTGGATAATTATCTCCATATTCATCTTCCAGCTAAATCCCGTCTCCTCCGAATTTTGGGGTTTGAGAATGAGAAAACCCCTGTTATTAAAGATTGTTTCTTATAAAAAAAAAAACATGACTTAAACTTAATTCATTAAATCGAAAATTAATAAAGGAAGAACTAAATAAAAAAAAAGAATTAACTTAATTCATTAAAATTTAATTTCATTTTAAAATTTAAACTTAAACCCTAACTTTTCCATTTCTCTGCTTCAAGAAAAAAGGAAACATCATTCAATTTCATTCAAAAATTAAGAAAAATTGGAGAGAGAGAAATGGAAAATCTCCTCAATAAATACCCTCGACGAGTACACACACGAACGAACAACATCATCTTCCCTTCTTCCACAGATAGCCTCTTGTTGCGATTCTCTCTCTGTATTTCTTTTTTTCTTCTGATCTCAAGGAAAGGAGAAGGAACGACAATGGCTCTTTCGGATCTCCGTCGCAGAATCTCCTCTGCATTGCCAACGATCAAAGACCGGGAACTCCGGAATCTCGTCATCGCCCACTTGTCCGCCACTGACTCTGCCTTGGAGTTCTACGAAAGCGCGAAAACTTTTCTGGGAAAAGCTAAAGATGACGAGAGAATCGCCGTGGAAGCGCTTCGCGAATTCGGCAAGGACTCGAGTGTTTCAACTCTTAGAGATGCCCTGAACTTCGAATCATGTTTCGACGATATGTCATTCATCGATGATTTCGTCCAAAAGTATAGGAATTTTCGGAAGATTATTTCGAACCTAGAGAGGCTGCTGCTAGCAATGGATTCCTCGTTCTCGATCGGCAAATGGGTTTCCAGGGTGTTCTCCAGCCATCGGGAGAGACGCGAAATGCTGAGCGAGGTGAAGAGAGATGCGTTTGCTTTGAGGTTCTGTTCAAAGATGGTTCTTGATAGGGTTCATCGTATGTGCATAAGAATAGACTTTGGGGCCATGGAGATGCTCGAGGGAGAAGACAAGTTTCTGGAGGGAGAGCTTACGCTGTCAAAGATCAAGATTCAAGATTTGGAACGATGGTTGGATGTCTTTGAGAAAGTTGTACGATCCGACAAGATGTTGGAGTTTCTGACTGATGTAGACTGATTCATGTTTTTCTTTTTCTTGTAAAGAATTTCAACAGATAAATAAATGGATAAGAAGAAGAAGAAGATGTTTTCATTTCAGCAACTCTTTGTTCTCTTTTCTTTGAAACCCAGACAACAAAGAACAAAACTGATGTTTGATTACGTCATTACGTACTATACTATTTGTAAATTATAAGTTCTGTCTGTTTTTTTCTCTGGTCTTAAAGAAAAGAATGGATCTTTCTGATCTCCGTCGCAGAATCTTCTCTGCATTGCCAACGATCAAAGTGGAAGGGTCTTTCGACAAACTCTTCGAAGCCCAAGCGCTGCTGGATCTCGTCATTGCCCTCTTGTCCGCCACTGACTCTGCGTTAGAGTTGTGCCAACAGGCAAAAACGTTTCTGGTAAAAGCTCGAGATGACGAGAGAATCATGGAGGGAGCGCTGTGTGGATTCCGACAGTATGGAAGTGTTCTGAATCTCGCAAAGGCCCTCCGCCACTTACGCAGCTCCGATGATTCATCGTCTTTCATGGAAGACTTTGCCCGAAAGATCAGCGATTGTCGGAAGCACATCGCTAACCTCTCGAGTCTGATCGAATCCTCCCTATTCTCGGCCTGGCGGAGTCGAAGCCGAATCAAACACGTTGCGAGATGCTGGATTTGGCGGGGGGAGATGCCTGCTCTTTCGAGTTCTATTCCGAGATGATGATCGCTTTCATACCATTAATCCGACGTCTGACTAAGAATTTGATCAAAACAAGGTTTGGGTTCGGACCGGTGGAGAAGCTTGAGGAAGATGTTGAGCTTCTGAAGGCGAATCTCCAGTCTTTACAAAAGTGGACCAATGATTTGGGAGACATTGCAGAGACTGGTCGTGTTAGGTTACACCACAAGATCCTCGAGTTCATCCAGACATGTGCCGTTTGATCGTTCGAGTTGTTGTTGTGAGACTTTTTTTTTTTTTTGAATTTTACTTTTTTGGCAAACAACCACAATTGATGCGTTAATGTTCATCTCTTTCCTCTGTCGTGTGGTTTATCTTCATATGTTTTAAATGTCTATAGATATCCAATGAATTCTAATAAAAAAATAAAATATTTTTTAAATAAATTTAAAAATGTTATCCTGATTCCTGGGAACTGACAAGACGAGACCTATCTCGGACCAATCTTGCAACATTACCAGGAACTCCAAAGTAAAAATCTACAACACATTTTTTATGTACAGAACTCTAGTTTCCTGTGCTGTTCTGAAAGTTAGGCAATTGGATTCATCCCCGAGTCAAGTCAATACTAGTCAGATGATGAGAGTCAAGCGACCTGGCCAAACCTGGCCATCTGGTCATTGCTGCAGGATCTTGGCCTTTGAACTTCCATACACAAAGCTACAAGCCAGGACCTGTAAAACCGAAAATTGAATTAATTTTTTTTATTATTTAATTATTTACATCAAATTATATACACACACACACACCACCAAGTGGTAAACTTTCATACCAAAAAAAAAATGGTAAACTTTTGCTTAAAATGTTTCGGCCCAAATAACATGCGGTCGTGTTGAGCCGTTTCCAGGCCTTAATAATTCTGGGCCGCTTTAGGCCCAATCATATATTGGTCCGTTAGAGGCCCAAAACGGAAGAATTTCGTCCTACACTATATGATTTGTACGCAACTGCCGTCAACTTTTTTGCCCCGTATGTACGGTAATACATATATACACACATATATATATTGGTTTGAATAGTCCACCATATAAATTCTCAAACCATATGCATAATTTGAAAATTCAAAGCAATCTGTATGAATCTCTTTTTAGAATTTCCAATATGTATTATATGTAGGGGATTTTCAATTCCCTGTGGACGTACCACGGGATGGTCGGCAAAAAGGCAATAAACTTAAAAGCTTTTCACTGTTGGAAGAAAAACAAAACATTTGAGCGTTATGTCGGTGGAAAATAAATAATTTATGTGAACTAAAATTTGCCTTATCCAACCAAAAAGATCATTCTCCATGCAATTCCGACCAACACCGATATTATTATATCCCTTCATATTTATATTTGTATGAATAATTTAACTATAACCCATTTCCAAACATTAACTCACAGTTTATTTATATATATATATATATAATCTAGTAATTATGGTGAGTAATCAAATATATGTATAGGTGTCCATGTTGTTTTATTATATACATTAAAGTTAGCTGGATATACACAGATAACAAATGCGTCATGTATCTATTGTTTACACTTTTCTGTGGCTATTAATTTCATTAAATACAAATTGGAAGAGCGAATGTGAGTTGTTTCTCACCCACTCAATTGCCCCTAGTTTATTTTGGATATTACCAAACTGCCATTAGAATTTTAAAACCTAAAAGACAAATACGCACGATCGAGTCTACTCCCCGTCTCGATTCTCTCTCCCTCTCACAGAACCCGCTCGAGCCTCCTCGTCGTCTCCGGCCACCGTCGAGCCTCCGCCGCCGCCGCTGTCTCCTTCGACGTCGAGTCTCCTCTCTCTAGGTGCGTTGAGTCTCCTCTGTGCTTTGATGAGTTGACTTTGTGAGGCTGCTTTGCTGTTTTCCATTTCTATTTTTTAAAGAAAAAGTTGTCATTGCTCCGTGCTGCTTGGTCTCCGAGAAAGTTGAAGGAAAAAGTAGAGAAAAAGCAAGACGATTTCGGAATTCAGTTAGTTCGCCGAGTTTGGATTCGTTATTTCCTGTCTGTTTTTTTTTGTTGTCAGAGTCGTGTTAATTTATCATGCTTCGTTTCTTGATTTGATCTCGTTTTGCGTGTTGGTGTGATTTCTGTTATAGTTGGGAACGAGAGCAACTCGGTTTCGATCTTCGTCTGGAATAGCGTTGAAGTTGCTCATAGATTGATTCGGATAAGCAAGAAAATTTCGATTGATAATCAGCGTATGAGCAGTGTAGGGTTTATGGTTTAATCGGAATTCCGGAAAAATGGGCTGTGAGGTCTCCAAGCTCTCTACATTTTGCTGTGTTTCAGAGCCAGAGGCCTCGAATCACGAGGTTCCAGGTTCAGGTGGGTGGCTATGGCTGAGTTGTCTGAGAGTTTCTAGGATTTCTCTGATTGAATTCTGACATTGTGGTGGATTTTCAGATGACGACAGGAGGGGTGAAGTAAGTGATCTGCCCCGATTTCGTGAATTCTCAATCGAGACGCTAAGAATCGCTACTTCGGGCTTTGCCGTAGAGAACATAGTTTCAGAGCATGGAGAGAAAGCTCCAAATGTGGTGTACAAAGGGAAGCTGGAGAATCAAAGGCGTATTGCTGTTAAGAGGTTTAATCGTAGAGCATGGCCTGATGCCCGCCAGTTTTTGGTGAGAATGTTGTTTTTGCTTGAATGCATAGTCTTTTATGTGCTTAGAACTGCCAAAGTCTGCTTAAATTTCCCTCAATTTAGTTTGATGTGTGGAGTCAATCTAAATTTGGAAGTTTTATGTCGTCAGTTGTCCGTTGAACCACATGTTGGAATGTTTCCATATCTTGAGCTGAATGACCATTAATAACTTGGTGATGTGGAGTAGTCATTTTCAAAGGAGCTTTGCAGTCTTTCCATGAGATCATATTTTGCTTACTGATTATGTTAGTTGAGTATTTTTGTTCATACTAGCACCTTTTCCTAGATGTATGAGGTCATTACAATTTGTAGATGCCATTTGAGTAAGTTGCTTATGCTGATATTAAGAATGAGATAATCATACCATGGATAGTAACCAAGCATAAGTTGTTATCCATCTGTGATGGAAGTACTTTCTGAACGAAACATTTCATTCTTAGTTGTTTGTGTTTGCTAGGTATCAAAATTTAGATTTCAATTGCCAACTACTAAATTTAGACTTTGATATTTTTCAAAAGAAAGTTTGCTATGCTCGAGTTAAACTTCCAGCTTAAGTTAGATAATCTCATATTTTTTATTGGTTGTTATGATAATTTATGAAATGTGTCTACGTTTCCCGTACAAGAAACATCTAAACCTACTGGGTTTTAATCTGTGACAACAGGAAGAGGCCAAAGCTGTTGGCCAGCTGCGGAACAATAGGTTGGCAAATCTACTAGGGTGTTGCTGTGAAGGTGAAGAAAGACTACTTGTTGCAGAATTTATGCCAAATGAAACTTTAGCAAAACATCTTTTCCATTGTAAGTTCCTTCCTTACTGTAACTTCATATATATCCTGGCTGCAGTATGCTCATGCCTTGGTTCAGTGAAGTTCATCTCCAGATACTTATATACAGAACTTTCATGTGTCATAGGGGAATCACAACCAATGAAGTGGGCTATGCGGTTGAGAGTAGCTCTACATATTGCTCAGGCTCTAGAATATTGTACCAGCAAAGAACGCGCACTTTACCATGACCTAAATGCTTACAGAGTTCTCTTTGACGATGTAAGTCGGTGTGTTTACGCTTTTTGTTCTGATTATGTTGGTACAGTTTTACATAAAACATCCACTTTTTTCTTTTAGGAGGCAAATCCAAGACTGTCATGCTTTGGTTTAATGAAGAACAGTAGAGATGGAAAGAGTTATAGTACCAATCTCGCATTCACTCCTCCTGAGTATCTAAGAACAGGTATTATTTTGTCAAAATAACCTGTGCATGCCGGAGGGAAAAAAAAAAAGACGATTTCCTTTCAATTCAGAGTTGATCTCTGAAATCTTTTCATATTTTGTTAAAGTGTTTCGGTGTTATATCATCGCAACTGACTGCCATGGTTAATTTGACTATATACCACATGATTGTTTCGTGTTTCGGATTTGTTATAGCCTTTTTGTTTAAGTGCCAGCATGATTGTTTCTTTCTACAGGTCGCGTGACACCAGAAAGTGTGATGTACAGCTTTGGAACTCTACTTCTCGACCTTCTCAGTGGAAAACACATTCCTCCAAGCCATGTTAGATCTCCTGACATCATTTGGATATAAAAATTTTCTGAGTGTTTCTGTTATATATACCACATGATTATTGGCCTGGATTATGGCACATTCTTCCTGAAGTCATGTTTAGGGCCACGTTGTAGTTCTATATTATAGCACAAACGGGTATCTCGCTAATCAATTATTTTTACTTGTATGATGGACCTTAGGCTCTGGACCTAATACGAGACAGGAACATTCAGATGTTGATGGACTCATGCTTGGAGGGTCAATTTTCGAGTGATGATGCCACCGAATTAATACGGATAGCCTCGAGATGCTTGCAATATGAGCCCCGGGAGAGGCCTAACCCAAAATCGTTGGTTACTTCTTTAATTCCGCTTCAGAAGGATATTGAGGTTCTTTCATTTTCAATCATCAAAAGATTTATTCTCTTTTTCCTTCTTAAGCTTTTGTGGTGATAAAGACATTCTTTTTCGTCTGCTGAATCACCATAAGTTCGTATCTTACTCTTCTGCTGCTACTGCAGTATCAGCCAAATATGGGCATTTAGACAGATAATGGCATCATTCATTCCGTAAGATATTTTTCAAACACTAACACAAGAAACATGGTTGATCATGTAGACGCCTTCCCATCAATTGATGGGCATACCTAGCAATGTGGCATCAACACCTCTTTCACCTCTCGGGGAAGCATGTCTAAGAACAGATCTAACTGCCATACATGAAATCATCGAAAAGCTTGGATATAAGGATGATGACGGTGCAGCCACAGAGGTTTGTTTCTTAACTCCAACTGCGATTTTTACGTGTTCTTGTAATGTCTACCGGACGATATATATTTATTTGTTTGGTTTGCATACAACTATCTTGACTTTGCTTAGCTCCAAAGTATCTCTTCAAGGCTGCATCATTCATTGCCTCCTTTGGCTTTCATCTCCCTCCTCTTTGATCTGATCACCTTTGTCTCATCTTTATTTATTTTTTTTGGGTGAAAATTCAGCTTTCCTTCCAGATGTGGACCAACCAGATGCAGGAAACTCTGAACTTTAAGAAAAAGGGTGATGCAGCTTTCCGACATAAAGACTTTGCAACTGCCATTGATGGCTATACTCAGGTTAGAGCCATCCGCTCTGCTCTCGTCTTTTCAAATCTGTCCCCCATAATCAATCACAAACTCTTTTTCAGTTTTCCGGAAAAGGGCACCGTTCTGTGTTTTCCCGTCTTTTCCTGTCAGAATTTCAATGAGGGATCCCTTAAACATTCCCGTCTGTATCGATAGTAATTAACATTCCTGAATGAACAAAGGGATTATCTTTCCGGTGCTTGTGCAGTTTATAGAGGTGGGAACGATGCTGTCTCCAACTATATACGCGAGAAGAAGTCTGTCATATCTAATGAATGAGATGCCGCAAGAAGCACTGAACGACGCAATGCAAGCGCAAGTGATATCGCCTGCTTGGCATATCGCGTCGTACCTTCAAGCAGCGGCTCTTATAGTGCTTGGACAGGAAAACGAAGCACATACCACTCTAAAAGAAGGATCCATGCTCGAAACCAAAAGACACGCTCTTTGATGAGTTTGTGTGTGGCTGATCCGAGGAGAAGAATGATTCTGCTTTATAATATATATACTAACCACAATCAATCAATGATTTTGTTCCTCCGAAGAACGAAACCCTGCCCTCAATCCTCAAATGGTGATTATTAAAGCTGCAGTATGGCACGGTTTGCATTCTGATCCTTTCTGTGTGCATTTCTGGTAAGTTGGGTGTTGATGGTTTTGCTTTTTATTTGCATATATATATATATATATATGTTTTTTTTGTGGGGTGTGGGTGTGGAAGAACTGTGGTACTACTGATCAATCGCTGCTCTGTTTGGAGGGTGGTTGTTTTTGTGGTGGAGATGTGATGAATGGTGTGATTATTGGACTTTTTTTTTGTAATCTATACCGTATACGAGCAAGGATGATTCAGTTTATTTGGTTACGTATAACTTAGTTTCGGTTATTTCAGATTTTTAATTTCATGACCGAGTAGTTATTTACTTTTAATCACTTTGGTTCGATTATAATTTGGTTATATTAGATTAGGTTTTTTTTTTTTGATAAGGGTTGTTGTATTACTATGAAATTTAAGTACATAGTATTAGATTAGGTTTTTAAATAACTACATCGTTTGTCCACCTCTAGAGATCATACCGATTATCCGGTAGTCGGGGTCTGATTTTGAATTTTGTGGATTTTGAAATATATATATATATATATAATATTTATATACCCATGGTACTTATTTTACCTCTCTTGCTTATCGGTTCATTTCTTTAATGTTATTTCTTGTAGGTCTCTCTCTCTCTATATAATATGTGTGTGTGTCAAACAAGTTAGCTATGCCAACTTAAAATTAGTATTAATTGTTTTTTTTATTTAGTACCTTTGAACACATACCCAAAAAAAAAAAAAATCGTACCCTTAAAATTGAACCATTCGTCTATTCATTTAGAACTTGATAAAAGTATAAATAGAGTATTGTTGAACAGTCAGCAAAGACAGTTTCATTAAAACTTGATCTTCTCAATAAAGATCAAATCAACATTATAATATAATGCTTTACAAAGAATGTTGAATAAAATAAAAAATTCAAAATTAGCCATTCTCTATGAAAGCGTGATTTGATAAATTCACCTGAATGCAAAATATTTTTCTTTGAGTTCATCATTCTCCATACTCTGAATACTTCATTTCTTTGAATAATTCATCATACTCACACAAATATATATATGTATATTGCATCTTCTTGTGTTATTGGTACAATACTAACAAAGCCTTTCGAGATTCAAACAAATCAAAGATACAAATGGCAAGAATGGTCGTCATCAAAATATCTTCTTCATTTTGCTTCATCACCATGTTTTCTCTCGTCTTCACGACAAATACGACGATGTCCCAACCAAAGTACATGTTCACTTTCTGCAACCAGTTGAGAGACAACTTCACGTCAACCGCCTTGTATGAATCCAACCGAGACACTGTCCTCTCCAATCTCCGCCTTCGATCTTCTCTCGCCAGCTATTCCAATGCCACGTCAGGCCTAAACCCTAATATGGTACGTGGCATGTTCCTATGCAGAGGAGATATCAGCCAGACGACATGCCAAGATTGCGTAACGACAGCCAATCTCCAAATAGTTCGGAACTGCACTTCTTCCGACGATGAAGAAGCATTCATATTCTACGAGGAATGTATGGTTCGTTACTCAGATTGGTCTTTCTTCTCCGTCAATGAAGACAGACCGTACATCTTACGATATGCCGTAACAAGTGCTCCAGACACTGTAAGTTTCGGTCTAAGGTTGTCTGAGAAGATGAACGAGCTGATCGGCAAGGTTTCGAATGGATCCCCGACTCCGTATTTCGTGAAAGATCGAGAAAGAGTGATCGGATTCGAGGGCTCGTATTATATGGATTCGATTGTTCAATGCTCTCCTGATTTGGATCAAATGAACTGTACTGTTTGCTTGAGACTTGCGTTCCAAGAAATGTCGGGTTACTGCAGTCAGTGTCAGTGGGCTCAGATCTTCACTCCCAAATGTCTCTTGAGGTTCGAAACCACTTCTCTGGGATCACCAAGTATTGGTAGTGGTTCGTTTAACATGAAAGGTAAACATGATGATTATAAATATACATATACATATATATATCTATAATATTCCAATATATTTATGCTACTGATTTCTTTCACGTCAAAATGAATGGATTGTGGGTTTGGCTCTTGCAGGAAAAGGAATTAGGGGAATTGTTGTTCCGGCGGTAGCTTCACTATTTGTGATTTTGATTCTGTGATCAAAATTGATCGGATATGATTATTATTCGTGTGTGTTTGTGTGTGTGTGTGTGTATATATATATATAAGTGTGTCCGATATATATTTATATCTGTGTATATATGGATTCAGTTGTTGTGGAGATGTAATAATTGGTGATGATCATCAATGGAATAATTTGGTTTTATCCGTGGACAAAATCATAATCAGACATTAATTTTATCTATATAAATAGTCATATAGCTAATGATATTTTTATAATATAGTCTAATTAAATAAAATTGAATAACGAGTCCAACGGATCAGGAAGCATTCGTTTTATTCCATTATCCAATTTTATTTAGTAGTTTAATTATTCGTGCCGCAGTTGAGCTTCTTTCGGCCATCATTGAGCTTGGAAAAACAGTGATTACTAATATTAGGGCTTTGAATGGAGATGGCTTTTATTTTGGGTTTTTGTATTTAGTTTTTGGATTTTGGGCCTTGAATGGTAGGAGTTTTTAGAGTTTTTAGAATCCAAAAACCAAAAAAAACAACATTCAAGTTTTTACAAAATTACTTTTCCTAAAAACTTGGAAAGCCATTTTAGTGAAAAAATCAATGAAAAACCAAAAGCTACTTTTTTTGAGTTTTCAAATATTATAAAATCCAAAAACCAAAAACCAAAAACTAAAAACCAAAATCCAAAAACTAAAAGCAAAAACCCAAAATAAAAGACATCTCCATTCAAAGCCTTGGTTTTTAGTTTTTGGTTTTTGGCTTTTGGATTTTATAATATTTGAAAACTAAAAAAAAAAAGTAACTTTTGATTTTTTTTTTCTCACTAAAATGGCTTTCCAAGTTTTTAGGAAAAGTAATTTTGTAAAAACTTGAATGTTTTTTTTTTTTTTTTTTGGATTCTAAAAACTCTAAAAACTCCTACCGTTCAAGCCCTAGATTTGTTTTGTTATGCTTTTAGATTTTTTTCTTGTATAATCTGAACAGTTAATTGAATTCGGCAATTAAAAAAATTCACTTGCAAATTCATTGGATTCGTTCCTCTTCACACACAAATTTTAAAATCTACATTCTAAAAATTTAAATTTTTTTGAATATGTTTAACACTCACATACTCAAATCTGAAATTGATAAACCTAAACTCTATAAATTTAATTCACAGGACTCCTTGATAGAAAATTTTAAACTTTACTATCTATGTCAATCCTTAAACCTATTTTAAACTCAACCTCAATGGCGGTTTAATTAAAATAACACAGCCGAGTTTATACAGTCTAAGCAAAAACTACTTTTTAATACATAATAATCTAAACCGAGTTCATATAATCTATGCAAGAATCGTTACTAAAAAAAAAAGCTCATCTTTAAGTCGACATTTAGTACAAACCATCAAAAGATGAAGAACAAAGTCTCAAAGTGGAAGACGCCTTGTACATGATGATGATGATGATGATGATGATGATGATGATGATGATGATGATGATGATGATGATGATGCATTTAGTAGCCTCTTCAGCGTTGTGAACTCACTAACTCAGCTTGTGAAACCACACCAAACCGGCCGAACCTCTAATTATTAATCCATCTGATTAAGAAATCCGTAATTGTCGTTGGATTTCATTCATGGACGCCTCTTGTTGAGTGGCTTCACCGATGAAGAGCCCATGACCGGTTTCTTACCACCTGAAGATGATAACATTCCGTCAGTCATTAAGAGAATACTATTGGAAAGTAGCATTCAACATCCCTTTAGTTTTTCTGCTTATCGAGCTTCTGTCGGTAAGGCTACAAGAAAGAACGATGTGAGATGTTTAGCCTTTTCTTTCCTGGTTGCTTAATTCATAATGGATTTGGGAAAATTAGGAAATAAAAGAGTCCAGAACTCGCTAGGGATTATAATAACCTACAAGTCTACCAGTCTGATATGTCTGATGGCACATATCAAATCTTTTTCAACTCCTAAGTTGTTTGAGAGGCCCTTGCAGGCAGATAAAATGAGGACTTTGATAATAATAGATGTAAAAAAAACAAGAATATTTAAGCTGCAGAAAAATTTACTCGGTAAGGCCTTAGAGGAGGAGCTGCTGGCAGAAGGAGAATGTTTGGATGGCCTGGCTTTCGGCGTCTGCTTCAGAAGCCTTGATGACAAATTACTTCTGCTTCGAATACAGACGAAAGATCCAAGATCAAACAAAAGTGTTTATTCCACGAACCTCATATGCTCGAGAGAAAACGTAAAACAAAGCAATTCTTTCCATTCTACTGTCTATCCTACTTGTCTGAATTTAGAATGTGGAAAGTATAGTACAATATACTCACTTGATACTTTGCTCGGTGGCTTTCTCGCGTTTCGCAGATTTTTCTGATCTCTGTGACCTTAAGTCTTGTTGAGATTTTTCGGCATTTTCAGGGGGGAAGAGAGTAAACTCCACAGCATTGCTTATGGACCCATCAGTTTCTGTTCCCATCGAAATAACACTATCTGAGATATCACTCAATCGTTCCTCGGGATCTGCCTCTTCAGCTAAACTATTATTGCCATTGGTGCAGAATTCCTTTCGATATCTGCTTTCATCTGCTAAGTGCTGTGATCCAGAATCCGAGTTGTCGACGTCTGAAATGGCTCTTCCGGGGAATCATGGTCTTGCTGTCGCCGAGCGTTCGGTGAAGCTCCTACGGAATGACTTCTCGGAGATCTTAGACTGCTTAAATCCTGTTTTAGGGCACCGGTATTACCTTTCAGCCATTGTAACTCTTGAATCTCTCCGTCTTTCTTGGCAATCACATCCTTTAACTTCGATACCTGCAATATCGAGGGATATCAAGAAGTGCTGTTATGTCTATTGCACATCTTAAAATTAACATAATATGTCATCTATTGACAATGCTACAGAATCATGTTGCTTTATACATTGTGATCACTACTTTTCAAAGCAAAATTTATCAGGAAACTGTTCAGCTGTGCCTACTTAGGCCTTTGTAATTTAAGGATACGTCAACTAAACCGGAAACTCCATTCGATTGTGGCAACAGTAAGTTCATGTCGATTGAAGCCAGTAATATCCACTTGATTGTGACAACAGTAAGTTCATATGGATTGAAGCCAGTAACATCCAGATTGAATGGTTTCAGTATAAAATATGATAGAGCTAAACACAAGAAGTGACTGATTTCAATTGCATATAATCATTTTCAATGGAGAAATAAAATGAGATAAAGGGGGAAGGGAAAAAAGAAAGGCACCTGCTCCATGAGTTGTCTAACATCCCGCCCCTCTTTGTTGCTTTTTGCTGCACCTAACTCAACACCCGAAACCCTTTCAGCAAACTTCAAAGTACTTACGGTCTCGGAATACGAATCTTCATCTGGATTGATCTGCACAAACATAAGAGTTTTGGCCTGTCCTCCTAAGAAACAAAAAAAAAAAACAAAAAAAACATAGGGACAGTGAACCAAAGAGTGATGAAAGAAATCCAACAGCACAAGACTGAATACAATCTTATATGTTGGGTTGGCTGTCGTTTCATGGATGAATATAGCATAGTTACCAAGGGAACTCTGAAGGACTTGTGTCAACTTGCTGTTTCGGTACGGGACATGAGGGTTCTTTTGCGATAAGGCAAAGATAACATCTCCGAGAGCTGACAACGATTTGTTTATATGTTGTGCTTCTTTGAGCCTCTCTCCAGTTGCTTCAGAGCGATCAACCCTCTCACTTCCGGCAAGATCAACCAAATGCAGACTACCGCGAAGGGTAGAGTCAGTCTCCATGTCAACACCACGTACATGAACAGAGAGAACACTGCAGAGAAACAACCAAACAATTGACATGCTCAATCCTTAAAATGAAGAGGCATAGTTAACACTACAAGGCAAAAAAACGAGAATATAAGAAAATAGAGATGAACCAGTGTGATCTACTGCTCCTTTCATTAAGAGCTGTGGCACCAACAGCTCTGTTCGTTAGCCCGATGGTCATTAGTTCAAGGACATCTTCAGTTGATCTCACACAATGTATGCTTGCATCAGGGACTGCTAGCCCATTCGGTAGTGCGGTAGTACAAATCCCAAGTGTATGTATGCAAGTTAAAGAAAATTTCCCATTTTGAACACAAATGAGAGAGACAAAAGTATATGATATTATCCACTATATAATCACATAAAGCAACAAGATTCCTCCACCCTGGGAAACAGTACGACTAATACCTACGATCCCAGTTTCCAAGTAGTAGAAACCGCAACACAGAAAAACCTATATGCACACATCGCTCAAACGCACACACATATATCCACCAAAAAAAAGTACTAAGATAATACCAGTCTGAGAGAAGGATATCTTCTATTGGAACCGCCTTCAGAAAGTAGATCACGAACTTGCTCATTATATATCTCAACCATTTGAACACAAACTTCGTATTCGATGGTGTTTTGCCTACTCTGACTTAGCTCAAACAAGTCATTGAGAGCTCGATAGTTCACACCCCAGTCTTCTTTTGAAGTTATACTTGGTCCGCTCTTTACATATATGCAAAATGGGTTGTGCATCGATTAGAAGCTCAAATGATTGGCTTACATATAACATGAGCCACAACAAACGGATTGCTCACCATTGTATAAGTTTTTCCAGAGCCTGTCTGACCATAGGCAAATATACAAACGTTGTAGCCATCAAGAATGGATCGAATTAGTGGCCGAGTATCTAAAAATACATCCTCTGCATAAACAAGAACATGCTGAATTAATGGATATAAAGCCATTAATAATTTTAACCCGACATATGAAACAAAAGAAAACTGTAGAAACGAGGAGAGACACCAGAAGGTCCAGAACACTAAAGAAAGGAAGGTTAAAAAGGGGAAGATGAGATATTGACCTTGAGTTGCTGTTTGACCAAAAACTTTGTTGAATTTAAACAGTCGATGTGTATCTTTGCCTTGCTTTAAGGGATTTGCCACAACCAATTCACCATTCTCACCAATGTATTCTATAGTCGGTTGCCTCTTGTTTTGCCCCGGAAGGAATGGTCTAATCCGGCAATAGACCCTGATATTTCCTTTTGGAAAAGAAATATCAAATAACATAAGCCAATCCTGAAGGCTCAAACAAATGAGGAGCAAAGGTTTCTACCTTTTAATTCCTGTACTTCATTGTACAGTCTCCTGTTTTCTTCAAGGACCACATGGTAATTTTTCGCTGCGTCAACCACTCCTTTGAGCTTTGAGCCTAAGAAAATGACTCAAATATGAAAAGCAGAGTAACCCAAAATAACATCAAGGCAAAGCAAACAACACAATTAGTGAAATGATCATTCTTACCGTAGTGATTTAGATCGAGAATATAGCTCTTCCGTGTCAGTATGACTTCATGTTTTAAAGACTCTGAAGTAGCCCTCAACTCCTGGAAAATTCACAGACTCAGTGTTAGCAAAAGAACTATGGATACTGACATATATTTGTAAGACTATCAATAAAGTCAAACCTGCAGAGCCCCTGACTGCCTGTCTATGAAGCTCTGGTAGGTACCCTCTTTATTCTCCCATTTTTGTGATTTAGATTCGCATAGCTTTTCAAGTTCTTCCACCTTCTTAGCTGAATCTACTTCACGAAACTCTGCATCCTTCAATTTCTTCTCCAATTCAACTTTAATTTTTTGAGCTTTTGCTTCAAGTTCCAAACAGCGGTTTTCATGTGTTCGTTTCTCCATTTCAAGTTCTCCCTTCAGCTTAGAAATCTCAGCATCTCTACACTCCTTTTCCTTTCTCAAACTTAGCACATCATTTTCTTCCGACCTTTTTCTATCTTCCATTCTGGCATTCTCAAGCTACAATGCACAAGAAAGTATTAACACAACTATCGAACATGCGATGCAAAAGAAAAAACATCTACACATTATCCACGGTATAGCACAAGGAACGATAATCCTTTTAATATTTTCTTATATATGTTTATAACAAACCGCATAAACACCAACGATTTGGCAACGAATTTAGAACTTTATCCATTTCAAAGACTTTGGTTCAACAGTTTCTTTTCTACAAGTAAGATGCCCCATACCACGGGCCAAGTATAAACATACATCACTAGAAGCAGGAAATGAAAGCTACATGTTATATAGATAACATACCTTTATATGCTCCAGACAGTTCGTTACAATCTACAAAATAAAAGAAGACCAAACAATTAGGGAAATAACTGCAGAGAGAAGCATCATACCACAACTAGAAACTGAAATACATATTGTACCTCATTCTCCTCTATTGTCCCAGCTGCCAAGGTTTCTAAAACTTTTATCCTTGATCGATACTTTTCTTCACGGACCCTAAAAAGGATATTTTGCTGCACCCATTTCACAGGCAGACTTAATGACTTTGTCAGAAGAATTGTACGTAAACATTCAACAAAAAAATACAAAAGGAAAAACCAGAAGTACTCGTACATTCTTTGAGTTTTCTGCTTGAACTGAAATCCGATATTCTATTACTTGTAGAATTGCTTTCAATACAGATGCCATAGCCTGAAATACATAGAAAAACAGAAAGAGGAAAGAGAAAAAATGCTGTGATCGTAGGGTCCATAAGCTGTAGCAACCAGGAAACAACAAATTAAGGAAGTGCAGCATCTGTAGCTCAATTGCTGGCGTACATTAGAGACATTCCCATTCATATTCTTCAAGCTCTCTTCCATAAGCCTATCCAGCATGTCAAATAGTGAACGAGTGGAGGCATTCTACCAAGGCAGGAATTGAAATTGCATCAGAAGCAAAGATAAAAGCTTGAAGCTTGACCAACATTGAGAGAATTTTTTATAAGACTTTACTTACTTGTAAACTGTTTGATTTCAGTAATTCCAAAATTTTAGCATCAGAGATATTGATATCAGTTCCAACCTCGACTTGAAATCCATCACTGAGTTTGTTATCGTCTCCCTTTGAATGGTCTTCCGGCAAACTACATCTCCTTCTTGCACACATTGAGTTCGTGCTATACTCACCATCGGAAAAGCTTGCTTTAAGTGCCTTAAGGGACTGAAAAACTGGCACCATATCGCCCTGCATAGTATCTTATACTATTAGTCAACAATACCAGATTAGAAGAATAAGTGAGAGAGAGGGTGGAAGGACATGGAAAAAGAAACCCTGAGATTTTGATGTCACGAGGCTAAAGCTGAAATTTGTCCTCTGTGCAAATTATGTAATAGCCCCAAACTAGAACATTGTTCTGTCCAGTAGATATGTAGAACACACAATTTTATATGCACTTCACATATATGATCCGATTTGCTCAGTTTCTTGAATCAGTAGCCATAATAATATGCAAATTAAAATGTGGAAATGCAATACCACACTAGCTGTTTTAAAGACATTAAATATTCAATTGCAAACAAATTGATCTATCGAGGAAAAAAGGGAACAAACCTGCTGTAAGTTTGAAGCCTCAAACCTCGGCAAGGCCATTTCATCCATGGCTGTAAGAAACCACTCTATTTTTACACTAGCAGACTCAAAACTGTCACCCTGTAGAATAGCCCAAAAACGGTGAGTCCAGCAGAAAGCACAAAACTAGAAGGTTAAAAACAGCAAACAGGAAGAAACACATGGATCAGTAAAACATTCTACACATAAAACAATTCATGCGCACCATTCTTACTGAACCAGGACTAAGCTGATTCAGGAGGCTGCACAAGACAGTTCCATCCATGAAGCATGCTCTCAGTTCCTCTTCTGAAGCATCCCGTGGTAAATTCAAATAAGGAAGCATCTCATTTAACCACTCTACCAAACTCTGATGACCTGAAAGCAGTTTAGAAGTGATTAAATTTAAGCACATAAAATCATCATCTTATTTATGTTTTCTCCTAGACCAGAAATTTAGAGCATAGAAGCTTTTGGCTCTCAATAATGTTATGACACCAGCTTAAACCATTAAAAGGTCTGTTGGAATATCAGGAAAACATTTGTGAAAATAGAAGCATCCATTCGCCACCTTGCACTAAGATTGACTATTCTACTTTCAACTAGAGATATAATGTAAGATACTCATTATTCACTGGAACTGTTTTCTATGTCAAAACTCAAGTTCTGAAGTACAGATGTTTCAGAGGACTTGCCAGACTTCTGGGATAACTGAAGAGGATACAAAACAAGCACCAGCAGGAGAGAAGATAAACAACAAACAAGCAGCGTAAAGAATATTGCCTTTCTTAAAATCATCCATGCTTTCACGACTTTCTGAACTGTAAAAACTCAAGATGCTCGACCCATTTGGCCGACTATAGGCACCAATCATGCTGGCGCCCTGTTGCAGATGACTGTTCATTCTGAATTTGAGATTCTTGGACTCCAGAATTAAGTGTGTGATGAGACCTAAAACAAATGGTCCAATCCCAAATCAGTCTTAGAAAACAAATGCAGCTCCAAGTAAGCAATAATGGTCACTTCAAGAAGTATGATCTGCTTATCTCATGCAAGCCATGGAAATATCTCCTCTCACCTACACATGAGCCATTGGTTCCAAGAATTTGTGCCCTCTAAGATAGTTTCTCACCATAAACGAAAGGGGATTAGCATAACCTAAACCTCTTGGGGTACAAATATTCACACTGAAGACAACCCAACAAGCTAATAATTTCAATCTCAAGTGAAAAAAGCTTCTCGATTTCGAGGGTACAAAGGCAAAAATCCACAAGATATTCTGAAAAGTAAAGTTTCTTCTCAACATTTTCATCTTCGCAGCGAGGAACAACCACAACGCCGAACCGAATATAACACCTAACAGATCTAACCATAAAATCAGCTCAAATTCCAAACTACATTCCCTAATTTTGCCTAAAGAACCAGATCCGGACAAAACCCTTAAGAAAACATCTCCGCTACACAAATGTTCGCAACAGAGAAGCAGCAGAAAGAGATACGAACACGAACCTGAGACGCCATGGGAGGGCCGGATTGAGACCTCAAGAAACGCAACAATGGCGACTCACTCTGACGAAATCTGACGGTAAATCCTCAAATCCACGAAGAAAGACCCCGGAGTACAATCCTTCGCCGGATGAAAATCCAGAAACTCCAGTCGGCGCAATTTGCTTACTGTTTTTCCCCTTTCTCTGTTTGGATTCCGAAAAAAAAAACAAGAAAACGGGAAATTTGCTAACTACGGGAGGCAAAAAAAATGTTTGTTTCTTTAGTTATTTTTATATTTTAGAAATTGCATAAAAAGTTTAAAATAACAAAAATAAAGTTTTATGTGATGGTGGGTCCCACCTGATTCTCCCGCTGTGGCTCCGTCTTAGCTTTTGATTTTCCCTTTTTAGTAATAAACAATTCCATTTGAAAATCATTAATTTTTATTTTTAATAACTACTTTACTTTTAATTAAAAAAATAAAGAATAAATTTATATTTAAATTCATTAATTTTTATTTGAAGATCAAAACAAAAACAAAAGTAATCACTCTGTCGAAAATGTTGTTCTTTAATACGTAATAGAACGTGTTTTCGTCTTATATTTTTTTCTGGGAAAATAGAAATTACAGTAATTTAATTATTTTTTGTGGTCAAGAAAAGTCAAATGGACCTGAAATTGTTGGGTACAAGCCCGGAAATACCGCTAATGTCTAAACCGGTCCGGTTAAGAACTTAATGGGCCTAACCACCGTTTTGATCTCTGGGTCCAGATCCAGCCCAGTATGGGTTACATAAGGCCTCATCTTTTTGTTTTCTCAGGTTAAAAGCAAGCCGGCAACCCGGCCGTTGTAAATGGTTACTTTTTGAAAATTGGATGACAATTTTTATTTTTTTATATTAATTTAATATTTTTTTATTCGAAATTAACCGTTAATAATTTTTTTTTCTTATCGGAAAGTGGCTTATAAATTCTGCATATCTAATGCTTAATCAATGCTAACTTTTGTACGTAAAAGATTATATATCTACTTTTTTCTATATTCAGGGCTCTGTCACAAGTATTACAGAAAACTCGCCATAAATTCCACGTGGAAATATGAATCCTTATATCATAAAGTATATGTTTCATGTTTCCAATGATTATTTTAATTTTGGCAACAAATTTTCAGGGCTTTATGATATTTTGATTTGGTGGTGGTGGGGCTTTTTTCACATTTAATGCAGGGTTGATATATGGAAACTATTTTTAATTCACCTTTTTTTTAATTATTTTTTCTGTCAATATTTTAATGTTTTACAGTGGTCCACAGACCACATATTTATAACGAATGTTGTGGGTTTTTATAACCATTCATTGGACTGATCGCAATCGCGCGTATATAAAGTAAATTGAATTATTACTGTGCTGTTTTTTATCTTTCAAAATCAATGTTATTTAAAAGAAAAAATATTCTTCTACGAAATTCAATTTTATCATCACGCCGAAAACAAGTATTAAGAAATATTTAAATCAGAGTTTTATCTTATTAATTATGTTTAATTATATATCCTCTTGTTTTTTACGGTTCTGCATGCATGGCGTCACGCTCATCATACATGGAACGTGGAAAAGAGTGGTTGATTTAAAAATACAATAAATAATTAAAATTCAATTTATGAGAACACAGAGAATGTGCATTCGCTTTAACCACGGGAATTTAATCATCAAACAAATTATTATTTGTTTATGGCTGTAATTGTTACACACGATAAACGAAAACATGATTAGTTTTAGATCAAAATTATAAAATCTATTTACGGAAAAGACATATATACCTTGTTATTTCGTCTTTTCAATATGGAAACATTCAATGTATATTAATTTACAGTACTTTTTGTAGAAATTTATAATAATTGTTGGTGCATGCATCATAAAACCTATGTTATTAGAAAAATATAAATTTATATCAACAATATGAAAATCATAATTTTTTAGTGGTAAGACGAATACGATGGGATGGAATCTAGATAATAACGTAAGAATATTCTGGGAATTCTGCATAATAAACAATAAATATCGACCGGAAGAGAGCATGTGTGTGTGTATTATTGTGTATATTATATATATACAATTATTGTGTATATTATATATATATACACACACACTATATTAGTACGTGTGTGTGTGCGCGCGCGCGCGTATATGCGTATACTAACGTATTTATATGTACAAGTGGTCAAGAACGTGACACGATACCGAGTACATTAACAAATACGTATTAATGATACTTAATTTGATGGTCTGAATTAAAAAAAAGTTTAATTCCAATTTAATATGGATTTCGAGTATTTCCGATATTTTATAAATAATGTATTCATAATTTAGTACATAAATTTTAACTCTCATCAAAATTACAAAAAAAAGGATAATTTTACTAAATAAATTTAACAAAAATTTCATAAGTAATTATACCAGACACGAGTATACTAAAAATAGGTAAATATTCCAATTGATATCTAAATTTAAATAAAAATTGGAATCTAGTTTCAGTTCAACTAGAGAAATATTTTATTTTTATCATTGCCCAAATAAATTAAATATCTGGCAATTTAGAACATGAAAAATTCGGGTAATTTACAAATATCGCATATTTTATATATACACATAAAATGGTATAAATTGTAGTATTATTAAAAAAACTTTGAGGAATGTATACAATTTAGTTATTGTTAATTTATGAGAGAGAGGGGGAAACCCCTAGATGAGTTGGTAAGGTAGTTTGTCCCATGCCATAAAGTTGTGGGTTCGACTCCTTGCTAACGCATCTATCGCCTGTCAGTTACGGCTGATTCACCTCCCACGCGTGTGTTGCAGGCTCGTGCGTGTGGGCTTGGGTTTACTCGGTCAGCGCGCCCGAAGGGTAGCAGCCGGGGTTCCCAATGTATCAAAAAAAAAAAAAAAATTTATGAGAGAGAAAAAAGAGCTGGCATTGCTATCAATGCGAATTAAGTAAAGTGGACCACAGAATACAATGGACTGCTCCATGCACATGCAATCAATGCCAGCATCTATGCCTTTTATTTCGTTACTTTTATATGTTCAGTAAAAAAAATATATACTTTATCTTCTTTAAATTTATAGTTTAAATTTTATCTGTAACAAAAAAAAAGTATTTTTCTAATGTATAGGCAATAATAAGTTAAGAAATAAGAATATATGCGAAGAAAAGGATTGAAGTCAAACTCACATATCTGTAGTCGAGTGGTATCTGGACTGGAAGTGAGGGTGTTCCTCCTTCAGGTCAGGGATTCGAATCCAGACATGCGGGAAGGGAGAGACATAGCCAATAGCTGTGTGTTCAAAAGCTGCTACCGGACCCAGGGAGATGTAGGTTGGGCCGAAGGTTCAGGTGAACTTTCTGGTTTGACAAAAAAAAAAAAAAAATTGAAGTCAATCTATCATTTTCCTTCTTTTTTCATAAAACATAATATTTTATTTTATTAATCCCATATATAAAATTCAATTCAATAGATTATACGAAAATAAAAGATTTTCCTGAATTAATTTTGTCTAATTCAAGTTATTCAACTTGTTTCTTCCGAAGTTAATGCATGATTAATTGATGTATAAAACAATAAATTATATTATTTGAAATTATGAACAAACCGCAATAGGTCAAAAGTGTCCCATTGATTTGTCCCTATGCGTCCCCCACGAAGCCCGTAAATCTTACGAAAAAAACTGATTTAAAGTGATAAAAAAATATGATATGATGAAAATAACGATTTTGCCCCTTTTGTGGGTAAATACAATTTTGTCCTTTGTTTTTTTGGTAAAGTACAATTTTGTCCTTTGCTCTAACATGTAATCTTATATTGTATTTAATTATTTTTTAGCACGACGAACGGGACACTTTACATTTAATTCGAAATGCATAAATTAGATTTTATTTAAATCGATTTTACGCTCGATGTTGTACGATTATTTTAATCAATCCCCACCAGTTCATTATGGCAAGTTGTAATTTACATTCCCATATCTTATATACTTCCTATTTATATTACATATATTTGGTTTGCTCATTTCACATCTTTTCTATTTTACTAGATTTGCATGTTCGAAGTAGTAAAATATATAATAGTATATATAAATTCCACTATTATATAGAATTTGTTATATTCTCTGATTTTCTTTCATTTTGAAAATACCAAAATTCTATACTTTTCGATCTATAAATTTTGTCCTTGCTTCATTGGAATATATATTCAACAAAAACTATGATAGATAACATAATAATATTTATGGCAAATCGAAACAAGTCGATTCGTTTTGGGTTTGGCTCGTTATAACTCTTTTTTTTTTTACGACTAAGGAAAATCTCGATCGCCTAAATTAACCGGATAAACAAACCCTGAGCTAAAAGACAAATATAAAATTTATTTAATTGTAAGAGGAAAAACACCTAATAAATGATATATAAATGAGTGAAATTTATTATTAAAACAACAAATACAAGTTGATAAAAAAAAATCATTCACAAATTTTGTTGGTCTAATGGTAAGAAGGCATTCAAATTATTCTATTATCCCGAGTTTAAATCCAAACGTATGGAGGAATATTGGTCCGAACTTCTCCGATCTTTTGTGAAATATAGTTTGACCAAATATATGTTGAATTTCCTTATTATAAAAAAAAACCCCATTATACATATATATTAATACGGCAACAAATAAATTTCACATTTAACAAAGAAAGAAACACAATTCTTTGATTAAAAATATACTCTCAATTTTCGAATCCGCCGAGTTCGATTGAGCTCGTGGTCATGATGAATTGGTTCGTCATACTCGTTTTTAAATGATTTATGAAATTGCTAATTTAAGTAGCTTGAAAATAAATTTATAAACGAGCCAAATCATGAATATTTATTATAGATGAGAGATGGTCTCTTAAATATTTATGAAATTAAAAAATGCTTATTTATCTGAAAATTATACAAAAAAAATGTTATATATCGATTATGTTCATATTTTTTTTTTTAATTTTTATTTTATGTTCATATGTTGATTTTAAACTAAGATGAATGATAGAGAAAACTGAATAGACTCTGTAAATTTGGAATAAATTTATAATATTACAAAGACAATTGTAAAGTGACAACAAGTTTTTTTTATGCAAGAAACCAAAGTCTCCGTAATTAATTTGAAAGCTACAAATTGTACTTAATTCGTTGAAGATAAACCCTAATGTAGAAATTTCTTTGCCTTATTAATTGACATAATGAAATGTTAATCACGAAGGTCCATGTCAAGGAATAATTAACAATGCCCTCCATTCATATAATGATTCTTGGCCTCTATTAATCTTTGCATTACGCAAATTTCAATGCAAATCCACGTGACTATACTAAGCGTTATCAACTAGGCACAAGCCAATTTCGGGATCTTTAAAGTGTTTGACTTGTGTTATTTTGTAAATATATAAAAAACATATAGACATACATACATATTAATATACATACATATATATATACACACACATGCTTACGTACTCGAAAGACACGGACAAACAACTCAATCAACACTAAATGTTTCGAACACGATTTGGATAACTCAACCAGTAAAACGAGGACAATTTACTCCTAACTTTAAGATTCTACCGATTCCAATTAGGAGTGGACATTCGATTCGGTTATTTTGATTATTATCCGAAATCAAGTTTATATATATAGCATTAGCTATACCGCACCTCTATGTACGGTTTAAAACAACTACGACACATTTAAGTTTTTATTTGAAATCCGAATACTCAAATTGAATATATCGGTGTGTGCATATATGCACAGACACTAACTCTATGGTGTCGTTGGAGGATCAGGATGTGTATATTAAAGCGTTGCTAAGCTTTTAAAAGGCGTTCCTTTTGTAGGGACCAAACACGTCTCTCCTTTATGTCAGACATGAACTCAATGGCCAGTTGATAAGGTTTTTTATAATTATTTTATTTTTCCAAATTTTACTTCAAACTTTTTTTATTTTTTTTAAAAATTATATACACATGCATATATGTATGTGATAGAGGGAAAACAAAGAAAAAAAATAAGATGAAAATAAATAACTTTCAAAATTACGAACCAACATGAGCTTTTGTCGGTCTGCCTTGGAAAGCTCTTCGAGGCAAAACATTAAATTCTTGCATTTCGTTGTGGCATTTCAATTTTATGTATCATTGTCTGTGCATCTGTGTTTTGTTTATGATTGCAATAAAATTTATTCCATACTCCTATCTCTAAAAGAGTTTTTTTATATTTTTTTAAAAATAACATAAAAAATTCAAATTATCTTATATCTCTCGTGTATAAACGGTCGACCCGGTATAAAATATAAATCCCCTCGACTAAAATTTTTGGGATTTAATAAAAATGAGTAAAAAAAATATTTCGACCTAACTCGCCTCATCGCGAACTAAACGAAATTGTTCGTAAACCAAATAAACTCAAGTTTGTGTGACATAGTAGTAGGAGAATGTACAAAACATATTTTTATTCTGGATTCAAATTCAAGTGTGGAGAAAGACATTCACTCGGATTTCTCTGACCTTTGAGAGATGCAGTTGGACCAAATACTTAGTGATTTTTCGGATTATAAAAAATAAAATAAAATAAACATAATAAAAATATTCAGTTTTTTAATTGAGTTAGACAAATTTTGGCTAAAGTCGTCTAAAAAATCGACCGGAGGTTGGATAAAAAATCTTAACTCAGTTTACACACCTATTATTTAATATACATATATATTTTTAGTTTCTAGCAATTAGATTGAATTTTCAATCATCTTATGATTAGTTATAAAAGAGCATATTTGATGATTACTATATTTGATTACCTCTCGCCTTTATCAATTTTTATTCCATTCTTTCATTTTCTATATATAACCATTATAATCTTCTAAATTATATATATATATATATAAGAATAATTTGTATCAAATTTATAAAGGACCATAAAACTTTATACTCCACAAGAAGCTGAACACAAGCGATTCGCCCTCCAACAAAATATTTCAGAATTTAAAATATTTGAGGGTAATCATAAATGATTAAAAGTATTTAAAAAGTATAATTTTATTCGGCAATGGCCGGTTATTATTATTATTATTAACGCCCATATAGCTTTTTTTCTGAAATTTCTTTGCTTTTTGTTTTTGGTCAGTTTCATTTTTTTTTTCATTTTCATCAATTTTTGAGTTCCACCACCTCCAACATATCGAGAGAGATTGAGACAGAGCACGAGTCTCTCAACTCTCAAACTTCAAGCAAAACAAAATTTGCCTGAATAATTTAATGTTCTTTCTCCCATATACAAAAAAAAAAAAGATTTCTTCCTGCGACAAAAAAAGTTTTTTTAATGTGTTAAAATAGCAAAACTCTTCTCGGTTTGTCTTTTTCCGGCGAAAAATAATGTCATGAAATCAAAGCTCGAAACCTTAAAACCCCATCTAGGGTTTGTTTCTTGTCTCTGTTGCTGATATTGATGCTTCCGCACACCCCAAAATAAAAAAAAATATATGTAAATAAAAATTTGTTTATATGCAAATCTCTACATGATCTTTGTTGACCCTTTTTTTTTCCTGGTAATTAAATCTGATACTGTTTCCTTTTTTTGATGGGTTATTCTCTGCTGTTTTTTTTCTTCTAGTTTTTCTATTTCTGGGTGATTTTTTTTTCTATCAATGGGGGTGTAGAGATGAAGAAACAATGGTCGCCGGACAAAACAGAACGGTGCCGGAGAATCTGAAGAAACAACTTGCGGTTGCTGTTCGAAGTATACAGTGGAGCTACGCAATCTTCTGGTCTGTCTCCGCTTCTGAACCAGGGTACTATATGCTCACCCTTCTTAGTTTTTTTTTCTTCCAAATTTAGATTTTTTTTGTCGGAGTTTATAATTTCGGGAAACTTCTTGTTTCGTTAATTTCAATCTTCTATAATTAGCTAATATTGACACACACACCGAATCTTCTTGCTTTGTCCGAATCTGGGTTTGTTCATTCTGTTCGAAGTGATGAGATTCTTTGTTAAGAATATTTTATGGGTTTGACTTCAGAATTTCCATTGTTGTCTCCCAAAACAATCATTTCAAGAACTGAAGTTCTCAAGCTCGGACATTTCGATCAATCTCTGAAACTTGTTTTTGTTAAAATCCAAACCATTGGATTCGCTTGAAATCTTAATTTTGGATGTACCAAGAAAAAAAAAAGAATCTGGTTCATTGTTCATCACTTCCGGAATCTCGAAAAAACATTCACGAATCTCAAAACACAATGTCTTTCGAATCATCAATTATTCCATTTCGCGAGTGGTTGATCTTATTTTTTTGAGCTTTGCAGAGTGTTGGAGTGGACAGATGGGTACTACAATGGCGACATCAAGACACGGAAAACGATTCAGACGACGGCAGAGATCAGAGCCGACCAGTTAGGGTTGCAGAGAAGCGAGCAGCTGAGAGAGCTTTTCGACTCTCTCTCCGCCGGAGAATCCTCCGCTGGATCTCAGGTTCTCCGGCGCTCCTCCGCCTCCGCCCTCGCGCCGGAGGACCTCACCGACACCGAGTGGTATTACTTGGTCTGCATGTCCTCCGTCTTCAGCATTGGCGAAGGGTAATTCTGTCATTTCCCTTACCCGTTCCTCTTGTTTTCATGATTATTTATTATATTTTTTTTGTTATTGATTCATTTTTCTCATATTTGATTCGATTTTATTACATTCGTTTGAAACAAACCTTATTAAAAAAATAAATAAATATATTCCGGTTGGTCTTGTTTATACACCGGGTTTATAAACTTTAAAATTAATATATAGACTAATATTGCAATATGTTTGTTCTCTCCATTATATTCTAAACCCACACACCAAATTAACACGCTATTTGTCATTTTAAAATTCCAACCATAAACCACCAATCATATTTACATACACATGCAGACCCGTTTATATTTACTACACAATAAATGCTAAAACTTGTCGAGCGAATTCCCGGATGCATGCGTTATTCACGTTAATCATTTGAATTTCTCATTTGATATGTAATGGAAAAAAAATAATATTTTAAAATGAAGGGTATTTGCATCTTTTCTAACCTGTCGATTACTTGTTTTTGTTTGTTTATATATATATATATATATCTTTAATTTTTGTTTTTGTTTGTTTATCGTAGATTGCCTGGACGCACCTTAGAGAGCGGTGAAACGATATGGCTTTGTAACGCTCATAACGCCGACAGCAATGTCTTCAGCCGCTCTCTTCTAGCCAAAGTACGTTTGTTTTGCGTTTTGCTTTTACGTTTGCGTTTGTATTGTTAGTTTTGGATCATGAAACGCTATTTTCTGCGTTTGCTGTTAGAGTGCTTCGGTTCAAACAGTGGTTTGCTTTCCGTTTCTTGGGGGCGTCGTGGAGATTGGCACTACAGAACACGTAAGCTTATTGTCTCTTTTGTGATCTAACCCCAAACGTTTTCGATTTTAATAATAAACCCCAAAATGTTTACATAGTTGCAATCATACCCCTGCTTCGTCAATTAAACAACAGAGGATTAAAATTGTAATGATAAAAACTCGGTTTATGCAGATTACAGAGGATTTGAATCTGATACAATATGTACAGACATCGTTCTTGGAAGCTCCTCCTTACACCACAATCTCTACCAGACTCGATTATCACGAAGTTCTCGATCCTCAACAGATTCTAGGCGACGAAAAATACGTTCCCTTGTTCGGAAACGATTTTCCGGTGAATTCTCCGACCAAAACAACAAACGGGTTTGAACAAGAACTCGAAGATCATGATTCCTTGGTGGCCGAGGCGATCAATGGCGGTGCGTCTCAGGTGCAGAGTTGGCAACTTGTGGATGAAGAGCTCAGCAACTGCATTCATCAATCGCTGAATTCTAGCGATTGCATCTCGCAGACGTTTGTTGAGCCCGGAAGGGTTGCTTGCGGTTCAAGAAAGGGTAGAGTTCAGGAAACGCGGCAGCGGTTGGGGCAGATCCGAGAGCAAAACCACGTAAATTTGGCTGCCAAGAACGATGATTTGCATTACCAGGGCGTTCTCTCGATGGTTTTCAAGACGACCCATCAACTGATTCTTGGACCGCAGTTTCAGAACTGCGATAAAAGATCGAGCTTTACGAGGTGGAAGAGAGGAGCTTTTGTGAAATTCATAGGACCCAATACTGGCGGAAACATGCCTCAGAAAATGCTGAAGAAGATTATCTTCGAAGTGCCTCGGATGGACAAGAACGAGTTGTTTTTTGACACACCCGATGACAGCGGAGCTAGGGTTGGGGATGAGCTGGCGGCGAATCATGCCTTGTCTGACAAGAAACGTAGCGAGAAACTGAACCAACGGTTTATGATTCTGAGATCGATAATCCCTTCGATCAATAAGGTAATTGAATCAATAAGCTCCGGTTGATTTGGCACTGCATTTTATGGGAAAAAACCGAAAACTCGGACATGTTTCATTCGGTTAATGATAACCGGGTTTAGTCTGTCTTCATTCTTACAGGTTGACAAAGTATCAGTTCTTGACGACACCATAGAATACCTGCAAGAGCTAGAGAGAAGAGTCCAAGAACTGGAATCTTGCAGAGAATTAACAGATACAGAGACAAGAATGGCGAAGAGAAAGAAACCGAATGAAGCAGGAGAGAGAACATCTGCAACTTGCAGAGATCATACCGATCGTACCGGAAATGGGAAGAGGATTTTGGTTAGCAAGAGAAGGAATAGTGATGTGGAAGATGCTGAACCAGACTCCAGTTCAGCCGGTCTAACCGATAATTTGAGGATCGGTTTGGTCGGTAACGAGGTGGTTATCGAGCTTAGATGTGCTTGGCGAGAAGGTGTCTTGCTTGAGATAATGGATGTCATCAGTGATCTTAACTTGGATTCTCACTCGGTACAGTCTTCGACCGGTGACGGTTTTCTATGCTTAACCGTCAAATGCAAGGTACAATCTCAAACCCGGTTATCTTTAGATTATGTTTGGGTAACCGATATAAACCGAATTTGACGGGGGGGTTTTGGGTGCAGCACAAGGGTTCGAAAATAGCGACACCAGGAATGATCAAAGAGGCGCTTCAGAGAGTTGCATGGATATGCTGAGTTACCCCGGTTTAAATTGACATCTAGAATATTTGGTATTCAATGATCCTAACCGGATTTTGGGATTCTGAATTTTGAAAATTATGCGTCGTTAATGTAGAAACAAAGCTCTTCTTTTATTTTCTTTATCTTTTGTTGCTAGTTAGTAAATTTTAATACGATATTATCATATTTTAGATATTCCAAATGTGAATGAAGAAAAGTGGAGATACAAAGGAGTTGTGGTCAAAAGCTGTTAAAAGTGAGTGCACAAATTACAATGCCCAAATTTAACAGAGTAGCATCGAGGGGGTCCTCGCACATCTCATCTAACGTTCAACTTCATGGAAAGCGTCAACTCTCAAAATTAAAAATCATTATATTTATGTCTAGGGGAATAAATTTGCCCAAACCTATAAAATTCAGTCTATCCACTTCACCATATAATCAATTAGATGTTGAAACGAAATTTACAAAAATTGGATACTTCTTTGAATGTTTATGAAAATTCTAAAAGCCCGAAAAACCCCAAATGAGTTTGTTGAGTACTAGATCCTTTGACCATCAAATTAAAAAATTTGAATCTTCTTAACCATCCGTTATGAACAATCTAATCTGATTTATGTTTCTAATGTGGTTTGTAAACTATTATACGAAAGTAAATGGTTACCCAATGTATATCCGAAGGATAAATGACTGCAGATTCCCACGTTATAAAAAAAAATTGTAAAAATCAAAAAGAAAAAATTAAGAAATATTCATTGAAAAATCAACGAATGATAATTTGTAAGAAATTATTGGTAAAATTTGGGAAAGAAAATTAACAGTTCTTGGAATTACCAGACCTAATTTTATTTCACTAAAAAAATAGTTCAATATAGCGGTCATGATATATATATATATATATATATATATATAATATTGTGCGGCTGTATTATGATTATATATTTTTTTTTTCTATATTTATTTGGGCAGGCCTGTTCTGAGTCGAACGCAGAGGCCCCTGCAAAGAGGAAGAATTAAACGGCGCCTGCGGGCGCATAAGGGTAATTCGGTCAAAAGGCAAACCTTCCGAACGAGGCCGAAGTATCTCAACCTGAAACCAAAACAGGGATGTCCCAAGGGAGAAAAGAAGTCTGAAAATTTATGTAAACATCAAGTGAAATCGTATCTGCTTTATTAACAAAAAAAGGGAAAAAAAATCTAATTACGTATCGTCAAATGGTTGTATACATAATTTTACTACAAGAACGTTGAGTAAGACGGTAAAAACCTAGGTAACCTTGTGGGCATTGTTCCGAGCTCTGTGGAGATCTCAATCTCCAACTGTTCCAAGATTTGTTCAACGAGATCCGACACAACACACTCTGTCTCCCCTCCCCAATCCATCCACGAACATGGCTTTGTCAGATCTTTCTCCATAAGCTGTTCCAATGTTCTTGGATCTCCTCCTGAGTTGCAGACCAAACTCCAGTCAAAACGTTTCATGGCGTGGTCAACCAGATCTGTTCTCAGATCCAACGGAGTGAGCTTAGGGTTCTTCAATGGCGTGAAAGGCCAAGACTTTATGTCGTTTCTGTATATCTCGTGGAGAATCTCGCTCGTGTAATCAAGGAAAAGACCATGATGGTGATCATTCTTGTTGCTGTTGTTGCTGTTGCTTGAGAATTGGTCGAGCAGTGAGGTCTCGAGAGATGAGACGGAACATTTCACGAGGAGCTCTGTCCAGTTCAGTCCAGAAGTATTGAGAACTATCTTTACAAACTCCTGAACTGACCCTCTCGAGAATATGCTCTTAAGGTCGATTCTTGGGTCAGAAGAGAATCCAATCTGTTCTTCTGCAATGATCAATGGAATATGCAGGGGTTCATATATATATATTCGGGACAGAATGAACAAGAATTTTGCAATCTGAAATGAAATATTTGATCTGGATTCACCTGTGGAAGCATGTTTTGAATTTCCAGGACTTGTAGTATCATCTTCCATGTGAATTCTCGCAAGAACAGAGACTGGACTAGGGTGCTCCTGTTCTTGTTTCAGGTCGTTAATGGTATTGCTGTTCGATCTTTCTGGACTAGAAAAACCCGAAAATAGTGTTCTTGTCTCCAGATTTATCGAATGATCCTGAGAAGAATCAAAGTTATATTATATATCTTTATAATATATTGTACAATCGATGCTTCTTTCTTGAACATTTACCTCACATGAACTCCGCGAGAATCTCTGTTCCATGCATTCATCTTCCATGTCAGGTCTCGGATTGCTGTAAGAAGCTGAACCTGTAAAAATCTTACATGATTGGTCTTCATCTTCTGTTTAAAGGATGAATCACGTAGCTTCAGAGACATATTTTGAACAGTTTGCAGATTTTTACCTCTACACTTTTCTGAAACGCATTCACCAAATGATCGGAGATGATAATCCTGTTTCGGGTTGAACACGTTACCATTCTTGCCCGGGATTCTTAATCTGAAGCTCTGCTTCTCAAGTCGTAACCTCTCGAAACTACTCAATGCATGAGGAACTTCATAAACGGGCGATGAGATTGTTCTCTCATGGCGTCTTTCCACATTGAATCTCCTTGGCGATACATCATTCTCGGGGCTTAACCTGAAAACGTCGGATTCAACCCGTTTCTTGCGTTTAAAGACTGAAAACTCTGAGATTCCATGGCCAATTTTTCCACTTGAATCATCAGGTCTCCTTCGAGAATCTGTTTCATCGCTTGTTTTCTCCATCCACTTCTTCGTAGCCTCAGTTTCAGTATCTTCACAACTATCTTCGGGGATACAAATAGCACGTAGAAGCTTGTTTTCCCGGCCATTGTTCTTGTTAGACCCGACAACAAGTTTCAACTTCTTTGTCAGATGTCTGAATCTCAAGTAAGAACTATCATCATCCGAACTTGTTAACCTCGGCTTCAATAGAACAATTCTGTCCAAATCATCTTCTGATTCTCCTCGTTCTTTCATACGAGCTTCATATGATTCAGCTTTTGTCAAAGACTCCATTAAATCTTTGCCACATTTTCCAGAGAAAGAATTTGGATCTTGCAAGAGAGTAACGAACAATTCTTTGTTCGAACTCACAACATCAAGTGCTTCCAAGAACTGCTTAGACCGGTCTCTGCCAAGAACCTTTCCATTTTTTGCCTTCTGACATATCAATGCTTCGTTCACACGAACATGAAGGTTAATCTCGGGGCACTTGTCCGAGTCTGAATCCATATTCTTACATCTTTGGTCCCGACCCTTTTTCAGGCCCGGCTTCTTCTCATCCGTCTTCTCCTCGAGTTTCACAATCTCACTCAAAGAAGATTCCTTTTTTCGCTCCGAGATAACAACCTTGCCTTGAGTCTGAATTAGGCTATCAAAGGTTTCATCCTTTAGATACTCTGCCCTTCTTACCTCGCGATCCGATATTTCCCTAACGGATTTGGGACAAGACTTGTCATGTTTGGTTCCAGAAACAGATGATCTTCTCTTCGTTTTGATCTCAGCATTCACGTTCTAGAATGAATCAAAATTCCACTTCTTCTCAGAATCTGTCCTTATTATATAACCAATGAACAAACCAAACAAAACCATTGAACTTACATTAGTACACTGGCATTTCTCATGAAGCCTCCGGATCAAATCAAGCTGACTTTTCGTATAAACATTACCTGCATAAAAGAGAATCAAAGAACTCACCATTTCTTAATGAACTTCACAAGGATAAATCATGGTAGGAAATGATCAAGAAGCGCTCACCAGCAGAATCTCTGAACCCGTGTGACTTGTCTGAAACCAGTCTCTTACCAGACCAACCTTGTCTGAAATCAAACAAGTTTATCAATCTCCATGCACAACCAGCTTTGTATTTCTCATACACAAAAGGGCTTCTCTGGATAATTCCATGGCCGGTGCTTCTGGGCGATCCCTTCTTCTCCATGATCCAAGAATCAAACTGTCTCTTCACTCAAAAAACCCGTCCCTTGCTATGAAGTAAAATGAACCTGAGGAGCCAAGAAAAAAGACCAAAGAACACGTTTGATACAGAATTCGGGACATTTACTCAATTCACAGAACACTTGTGTTCTAGATTATATAGTTCAAAACATGGAAACAACAGAAAAGCAATTCTTGCTTTCTTGTGTCTGAAAATTGCTTCTTCTGTTCACTGTTTGGCAGGTGAATAAGAAAGCTGTCCATTTCATCTTCTTTCCTGTTTCTTTTTTTTTTTTGCCCCCTTTAATCCCTTGAACTGAATCTTCCATTAAAACAGCCTCAAGTTTTTTTTTCTCAGCAAACACCCTCAACAGATACGCGAACCCTTTCCTTTAGCATAAAAATTTCCTCTTTTCCATGGCTCTGCTTCAATGATGTCATACCCAGATTCTCCAAACACATCAGCATATCTATTTCCATGTGTATACATATATACACACACGCATATATGTATGAGCAGATGTACTTACCCCGAAATTTCGGTGAGAGTGGTCATAAAAATGAAATCTTTGTTCAGTCTCTGTGTTTGTGGTGCCAATCAGTAGCCGAGCTCAGTGTTGAACATTAAACCCCCCAAAAAAACCCATTTTTTTTTAAAAAAAAAAATATCACACAGATGGATTGAAGATCTTCAGAGAGTGGAAAATAAAGAGGTATTAAAAAAAAGGAGAAATCTTTAAGGGACCCTTGTCTCCTCATCTACCAGTGTAATCAATTTCCTCTTTTCTTTTCTCTCTTTTTTTTGGGGGTTTTTCTTTCAAAGAAATTTGTAGGGACAGTCACTACTGTTTATTCTCTGGAATGGGTCCTCGCCATTAAAGCGCAAGTGCTCGTCGCTGTTGCGATGATGAAGAAGAAGAAGAAGGAGAATGACGATGACGATGACGACTGTGGAAGGAAATGTCGTGAGATATTCGTGCCATGAAAACTATGATCGAGAAATCAAAGGGAAAAAAATAGAAACAAATCATAAGAGGAGAGAGAAACAAAAGGGAATGAAAAAAGAAATATCAATCCAAATTTTTTTTGGTTAATTTGTAATAGTTTTTTTTAAAAAAAGGGTAGCTGTTAAATCCTTTATTGGGATATGAATATTTTGTATTTGATTGAATATGAAAATGGCTTTTATGGTAATCATTAATTTCATTACCATGTTTTGCTAAACAAGTGACATGATTTTTTTTTCAATTTTGGAGAAAAAAATATTGAGGGTTGGGACTTGAGAACGAAAGGGACGTGAAAATTTGCAGAGTGGAGACAATGCTTTCCAATCAAGCTTTTGTTTCCGTCTTCTTCTTGATCTTCCTCCATATATATATATTTTCTAAATATAATTCACTTACATTTTACAATGCTATACACATCTGTGCGTATATATATATATACATATATACAGAATAATGTCTACATAATACGTGATTACAACTCGTATACGTTAGTCTACGTTTATAAATTATTATTATTATCCACATAACTTTATGACAAAGTTTTCCACCGTCCAATATTATGCATACGAATATTCTATTTAATAATTACTGCTATGAATGTTATATAGTGTATAGACAAAGGTATCACGGTATGGGACAATTTCCTCACCGTGACATAATTTGCGTAACATTCAAATAAATGATAAAACTGCCAAAAACAAAGTGAATATGCTTTATTATTTCCTTTTTTAATTGTTCAGTGATAACATTATTATTCAATGGCAACTGATTTTTTAATTATTATTATTATTATTATTACATTAACGCCAAATCTATCGTAGCATTTTCTTAAGACGGATTTTGCATTTAATTTTTTTTATGTAGTTTCAAATTGACCAAGTTAACATAATAATATACAGTTGTTCAGTTCGTCAATCTTTTAAATTATTATAATCGTGAAATTAAATAAAATTCAATAGTTTTTGTTTTAATCATTATCTGTAATCTTTGGTCAACATATTGTTAACGTAGCAAGGAAATCATCATCTGACTGCATGCTCAAATTATATATTTAGTGGTTTGACCGATAATAAAGTCAGGCGTTTAGGAGGTTATATATATTAGTACCAAACTTTAATGAATTTTAAACGAACAGCATTTTCAAATGTAAATTTTTTAAAAGAAATTATTTATTAATGCATTTTTAATTAATGGCTTGTTTGATCTTTGTATTTAATACGTGATTTTGTTAATAAATTTCCCAAATACACCGCACGTGCGACGTGATTATTAGGAAAAAACAAAATAAATGAAATTAATATGGGCCGATGAGAACGTAGAAATGAGCCCATTTAATGGAGGGACCACAAAATGTATTTAAACAATAAACCAACTTTAACAAGAATGGGCGGTGGTCGGTCCATTTTACCAATTAAAGATGCCATGTGATTTTATTTTTGTGCCCATTTCATAAAATATATATATATATATATATAATCAATGTCATCAATAGTGTCTCATAGGGAAAATAGGAAATATTTTTCTTTGCAACTATATTTTTCAAGTATCTATTTTCAATACTCTGTTCTATATCAAAATATTTTTTTTTTCATGCGTTTACCATATTGTCATTAATATTCGAGATACTTTAAAGCCATTTGCCTATGTAAATCTTAATACTTATTTTTACATGATACGTATAGTTATATAGTTTTTATTTAAATATAGATTTATTAATATGTGTAAATTTGGAGTGAACAAAAGTTCTAAAAAATTTCATCTCTAGGATCTCCATGGCAAATATTATATCCATGTATCTATTTATTATCAATATTTTAGATATTGATATTAAATCTGACCAATTTTTTTATTTTTCATATATGCTATAAATGTAACATACGTTATATCAAAATTATTTTATTGGATATTTAAATGGATAACCTAATGCATTTTATATAATGCCATAATGAAAATATTTATAGACTTTTACAAAAAAAGAATATACTTGTATAGTCTGAGTTTCCTAATAAACCCACTTTGATGCATAATGGGCCTTAGACCTGGCCCAAACTAAAAAAACCCACCGTTTTATTGGCCCTCTAATACGCACCGTTTTATTTGGCTTCTCTTCCTCTGTATACGCACCGTTTCGTACATCAACTCTTATCCCCTCGGAAAACCTCTCGTCTCTCTCCAATGGCGTTTGCTTTTCTCTCTCCTCACCCCAACTTTCTCTCACTAAGCAAAGCTACTTATTCCTTTTCATACAAGCCGATTATCTTTCCTTTTCCTCGAAACTGCCGTATTATTCCGTCGGCCGTCGGGTCGGGTCGCCGGAGTTCGTACCCGAACCCGGCGGATGACGACCCTCCGGAGGCGCCGGAAGATTCCATGCACGGCGTGTCAAAGTTCCAGCAGATTGAGCGTCAAGCTGCTCGAGCGAGGAAGCTTCAGGAAGATGACTTCGAGAAGAATCGGAACACGTATCTGTCCGCCATTGCCGACGTGGAGGACGCGGTGGAGACGGGTCGAGACGATCGGGATTCTGGTGACGATTTATTCGGAGAGATCGACCGGGCGATATCGATGAAGCGGACCGAGTTCGTGAAGCAGGGCTTGCTCCCACCGAACCCTCCCAAGTTGACGTCATCCAAGAGGACCAAGGAGGAGGAAGAGGAAGAAGAGGAAGAAGGGCATGGTACGGAAGGTGGAGATGAGCTGGAAGAAGAGGAAGTTGCCGATTTGGAGGAGATCGAGAGCTTGACCGGGTTAACTGAAGTCTCCGACGACGAAAATTGGGTAGATGAAGAAGGAAAGCGCGTGGCCGACAGTAGAAGCGGGAAGAAGAAGAAGGAAAACGGTATTGGGTCGGAGTTTGATCAGCAAATGGGATTCGATTTCGATGATTTCGGGGAAGCAAAAGCCAGAATTGTGGAACCCAAGTTCAAAATGAGCTTAGCAGAGCTTTTAGACGAGAGCAAAGTCGTGCCCATCTCAGTTTACGGCGACATAGACGTCGAGATCACCGGAATCCAGCATGATTCGAGAGTTGTCAGCGCAGGGGATCTCTTCGTGTGCTGTGTCGGAAGCGAAACTGGTGAACATATGTTCTTGAGCGAAGCCGACAAGAGAGGAGCAGTGGCAGTGGTCGCGAGCAAGGAAATCGACATTGAAGACACTTTGGGATGCAAGGCACTTGTAATCGTGGAAGACACTGATGCAGTTCTGGCCGCACTGGCTGCTTCTTTCTACAGGTACCCGTCGAAATCCATGGCGGTGATCGGAGTGACGGGCACGAACGGGAAGACGACCACCACGTATTTGATAAAAAGCCTCTACGAGGCAATGGGCTTACGGACAGGAATGTTCAGCACGGTGTCTTGTTACATTCATGGTGACAACAAGCTTGTCTCTCCAAACACGACTCCTGATGCGGTTTTGGTTCAGAATTTGATGGCTAAGATGCTGCATAATGGGACCGAGGCTCTGGTCATGGAAGCTTCTTCTCATGAACTTGCTTTGGGGAGATGTGACGAAGTGGATTTCGACATAGCCCTTTTCACAAACTTGACAAGGGACGAGTTGAATCTCCATGGCACGGAGGAAGAGTATAGAGATTCCATGGCCAAGTTGTTTGGGAGAATGACTGATCCTGAGAGGAACAGGAAGGTGGTTAACATAGATGATCCAAATGCAGCCTTCTTTATCCGACAGGGGAACCCTGATGTTCCTGTTGTGACATTCGCAATGGAAAACAAGAAAGCCGATGTCCACCCATTAAAGTTCGAGCTCTCCTTGTTTGAGACACAGGTTTTGGTTAATACCCCTTATGGTATTCTGGAGATCTCCTCAGGCTTGTTAGGACGGCATAACATATATAATATTCTTGCGGCTGTGGCTGTTGGGATTGCTGTTGGAGCTCCACTCGAGGATATTGTTAGAGGTGTTGAGGAAGTCGATGCTGTTCCCGGCAGGTGTGAATTGATCGATGAGGAACAAGCTTTCGGTGTTATTGTGGATCATGCCCACACTCCTGATGGCTTGTCTAGGCTGCTCGATTCTGTTAGAGAGCTTAAACCAAGAAGAATTATTACCGGTACATTTAAGTCTCACTTCACAAACTAATATTCAATTTTGGTGTGGACAATGGAAAGGAAACTATTGTATACATAGACATGAGTTCTGTTGAATGTTGAACTGAAGGGATAAAAGGGTATCATCTTCCTATAATCTTGAAAATGTCTGAGTTTTACTTGAGGATCGGTTAAAAGGTATGGACTTTGTTATGGGGTTGACATTTGTGGATTGGTTAATAGATAGATTTTCATGGATTGATGATATACTTTTGTGTTTAGACCATAAACACCGAGTTGTGGGCAATCATCTGATTGTTTATTTCCCATTCTTGTTCAAGTTATCGGCTGCGAGGGTGAGAAGGACAGAGGAAAGAGGCCGGTTATGACAAAGATTGCTACTGACAAGAGCGACGTGACAATGTTGACATCAGATAATCCAAGGAGTGAAGATCCTCGTAAGTAACTTTGAGATTAGATTAAGAGTTTCTGAGACAATGATGAAGTACTTATCCTTCGCGGGGAAAATTTTTCGGATTGTGGTTAGTGGACATATTGGATGACATGTTGGTTGGGGTGGGATGGACAATGCAAGAATATCTAAAGCACGGTGAAAACGATTACTATCCACCATTGTCAAATGGTCATCGGCTCTTCCTTCATGACATCAGGCGTGTAGCTGTGCGTTGTGCTGTTGCTATGGGCGAAGAAGGTGACATGGTTGTAAGTTTCAGACAAAAACCCTTCACACTTTAATCATCAGGACAAGATCTAAGTTGTTTCCTATATAGATTTGGATCCCTTCTTAGCGAATCTGTCTTCGAGAAATCAACTTGAACGTTCTCTGAATCACTTGACACTGCTATATATTGCAGGTTGTAGCAGGAAAAGGCCATGAAATGTATCAGATTGAAGGTGATAAGAAAGAGTTCTTCGATGATCGGGAAGAGTGCCGGGAGGCACTGCAGTACGTAGACGAGCTTCACCAGGCTGGAATAGACACGAGTGAGTTCCCATGGCGGTAAGTGAAAACCTTTTTGCAGTCATATTTGCTAATTTTCAGTGGCGAATCACCGAAACTACTGACAATAACACAAGAGATTCCTGTTTTGTCAGATTGTTAAAACCTCCCAAGATGCTTCTATGACATTCATTTCTCTTCTCTTTTCCTAACTATGTTGCTTCAGGTTACCGGAGAGTCATTAATGTCGCCATTGTTAAGACCATCAGGACAAAAGACTTGACAACTAGCACGTGAACCGGTATTACTTCTACCTGACTCACTGTTCCTTGCGACGATACCATTTGCAAGGAGCCCTCTCTGCTCAGAGAGATGATGCTTTCAATGAAGGAGAAGAAGAGATGAGATTTCCATGGCGTCGAGCTTTGTGTGAGTCACAATGACTTTAAAGTTCTGTCCTTTTTACTTACCCTGTTAGGATTTTTTTCACGCAAGTGGTGAAAATAATCGGAAAACAGCGAAAAAAAGAGAGAGCCTGAACTTGCATGATCAAAGACTGATACAACCTCTGCCCTTCTTCTGAAATATGATAAAGTCTTGAACTTTGGAGGAACTAGTGGATTTAGTTCATAGATTCCGGCTCTTTGATCATGTCTGTACTGATGCAGTTTCTGTTTTGATTTAATTTTGAGAACCAGAGAAATGGGATTTGTTTGTTTCATTACAATGAACGAGTCTCTGTTGTTGTTGTTTTATTGCAGGAGGCACTAATGTAGAGTAAGTCCAAAAGCTGGAGAAGACAAGTTATAAAATCTTTGTGAAGGTAAAAACTGTATTTGAATATGCAAATGCAAGTGTGTGTTTATGTGTAAGGGTTGATGAATTTTGAGCTCTGCAATGGAAAAGCATTGGGCAAGTTCCTGTCTCGTTCAGACATGGTCAAAGAGTCGACGCCATGGAAAATCCCATGGGATTGTTATACTCACGAGTTTGAGCTTTTTGCTCATATGCAAAATCCCAATTCCAAGGGGAAACCCTAAAAATAACCCTAAAAGGAACAATCTGAGACATCATTGAATTCGGACAGAGCCCTTCCACCCTTAGCTTCTGTTCTGTACACACAAAACCAACATCTCTCCCATTTTTACCAAAGAGATTACAACAAAATGTACATTACATTTCTTCCTTTTCGTTTTACGCTAATGTAAAGAAGATCTCTTCCAAATCCCCCCCCCCCCAAAAAAAAAAATCCATTATCCAGACCCTCGAACTCGGATCTCCTCAGGCTATTTCTACTACTCTTCAAAAGAAGCAGCAGCCCGGTATAGATGGGTTTCCTATAGATTCTAACTCTACAAGCAGCTTCTGGTCTTTTGATTTGGTAAAGTTCTCGACTTTTCTGTCAATTCTGTGTGGGATTATTATATCCACTGGGGAAACAGAGGACTTACAATTTTAAGACGAGAAACCGGATCTCAGGTCGAGGGTTTTCAGTTTCAGATGCTCACTTAGGAACTGTTGGGACACATGATCAGACAGGACTGGCTGACTGTCCCTGAGATTCTTCCACCCATGCCCGGGTTGGATGGAACCATTGTTCTCCCAAAAGACATGAGGCTGCGTCTTGGGACTGCCCCGGGAGATGTCCAGCCTTGGCTCTTGATAGATTTTGCTGTTTCCATAGAAGCTGCTGTTCCCAGGGCTTCTGCTGGATCCTATGGACGAATCTTGCAAGAAGTTGGTCGTTGTCTGTCTTTGGTGAAGAAAGGGGATGGCCCCGTCGCCTCCGGTTAGAGGTGTTGATGAACTGGAAACACAGTGGGGGCTAGATATCGGGGACGGAGACCTTCTCCCGCTGATATGCTGTGGCGAACGTCCCTGAAGGATTGGACTCCCGATTGGTGAAATCGGGCATGGCATGTTTCTAGGCGAACGGGATGCACTGGAGAAGAAAAAATAGCGTGAATTTTAGTTGGATCTGGTTATGTAATATCCATGGAACGATGATGAAACGGGTTTTAATCCATTCGGATGGAGATACCTAAATATCGAAACGGGTTTTAATCCTTTCGATTGGAGATTGGTTGCATCTTCTGAGTCCAAGCCTGGAAGACTTCTTGAGCTTGCCATATCCTGAAGAAAAAGCACACGAGGAGAATCAGAAGCAAACAAAAAATCGGATGGGAAGAAACAGGATTATTGATTAGTACCGGCGATCTCATCGCATTTGACGTCGCAGGCAACGTTTCTGCAGGCTCAACGCTCATGATAGGCCTTTCCAATTGCTGCCCAGCGTTTTTTAGAAATGGGTGCTCTAAAAGTTGAGCTGCTGAAGGACGATTTGGAGGATTCCTCTGTAGACACTGTCTCACAAAGTCCTTCCCCTCGTCAGACAAATGATCTGGAATCTCCGGAAGCTCCTTGCTGTTTCCAATCTTGAACATTGCAGGAACCTTTTCAAGATCGTACACATATGATTACGTTCCAGGGATTGTGAGGGCATGAAAATCACTGATCGTTTATTTAAGTCTTATGGTTACTGACCCCTTCATACTGGCTCCATGGAGGTTTTGTCGTAGCCATTTCCAGAACTGTACATCCAAGGCTCCATATATCCACTGCAAGGTTACTGCCGTTCGAGTTCTTTATAACCTGGACATGGGGTGATATATGTGTCATCATAAACAATCATGAATAAAGAATCTCCCCGACGAGAAAATGATTATATGTACCTCGGGTGCCATCCAATAAGGGCTCCCCTTGAATGATAGTGGACCAGACTGTGCAGTAATCTGTGTTTTGCCAATGGAATTTTGTATTAGAATGCATCATCAGTAACTGTTTAGGGTTACTAGTCAGTCATGCTACAACATAGATGATCAACCATCTCATATCCAATGCAGAGATTCAAACGGACAACAAGGAGTGCAGGGCATAGGATTGCAGAGAATTTATTCATACATGCTTCGCCATTCCAAAATCGGCCAATTTCACCCGTCCATGAGGATCCACCAATAGATTTGCTCCTTTGATGTCTCTGAATAAGGTTTAAACCCAAATTTATTTAACTTTGCAAAGTGCAAGGACATATATTGATTGGTAAGGGAATGAAACTTAGGAGGAATCAGGACAAAAGACAGAATCAAGAACTTCACTCACCTATGTACAGTTTTTTTCGCATGCAAATAAGCAAGCCCGGACAAAATTTGATGTGTGTAGTTACGGATTGCATTCTCGCCAAATTGTCCATATTCTTGAAGAAGCTTATAGATCGAACCACCAGAGACAAACTCCAGATATATATACAGCTTGTCATCTATCTGTTTTGGGGCAGAAAAGATAGAACAATGAAGCCATGTGGGAATAGAACAAGAGCATGGAAATGTCAAAGACTACCAGTAGAACTTACAGTTTCAGAGCCATAGTATTGTACTATATTAGGATGCCTTAAGCGGCTTAGAAGTGCAATCTCCTGCCAAAATCGTTGAAAGGGAACTGATGGGTCAAAAAATCGAACAAATGAGTGCACAAAGTGCAAAATTTCCGCAGTTTTGAATAGATAATGCATCCAATAAATTGAGTACATGGAACTCACTTGCCCTAGCTGCTGGGCGCACTCTTTCGATTTTGGATCATCTGGGCATAGAGTAACTTCTTTCATGGCACACATCTCACCACTTTCACTGCAAAATGAAAATAGACAGATAAAACAAGAACTCGAACAGAAATTATGACGTGAAAAAATATCCATCCAAAGATTCAACTCAAGACAAACTAAAAACTATCCAACTGTAGATTGCATCAAGAAGTTAGACCATCATCTTGAAAATAATTTCTACTGGAAAGCAGCATGATTTAGCAGGTGAAATAATCTCATAGCCAGAAATGAAACTAGAGACAGATTGCCCCTTTTCACAGGTGGACTTAGATTTCTTAAATTCACAGACCTGCTGAGTCGACAGTTTGCCCCTTCCACGCAAACGCCCTTTTTTCCACCGTGATCCAGGGCTCACTGTAGCCTCTGCCCTTGTAGGACTTCTTGGGACTGATGGAGAGGTTGCTGCTGAATAGGTAGGAGAAAATGAGCAAGTATTTGCGATTGTTAATGGAGGGAGAGGAAGGCGGTGGCTTTGTTGTTTGCTGTCATCAAGTCGTCTAGTTGGAGATCCTGTGGTTGATCCTCCCGCTTGTGGATGAAGAGGGGTAACAGCACCGCTCTGAATTCTAGAACTAGGGCCGGGACTTGTCATTTTTGGACTAGGAACAGGGGAGCATTCAGGGCTACACCTGCTCTGAGGCCAAAGCAGCTGACCAGACAAATCTCCACCAATGGAATTATTACCGGAGTTGTAACCTGAACCTGGACTTGAGCATTGCCCAGACCAAAGCAAGGAAACATCTGAACATGGTTTTCCAGATAACAATCCATGGTTTGAGACTTGATCTGGAACAGATGATCCCATTGGACTCCTAGAAGGACTAGACAACAAGCTGTCAGGAGCACTGCAGAGGATATCTCGTTGAGGAATTTGTAGATTCTGCACATGGCTACCAAGAGGCCTCCGCTTAGGAGATGTAGACAGACTCTGGGCTTTATTACTTAAATTATGGACTGGCATTAGTAGCTCAGCAGAGTATTTGACACCATGAGGAGAATGGTCCCTATATAAAGTCAGTGAAAACATGTTGAGAGAGAGAGAGGCTGCATAATAAAAAATTATTGCAGTAAAATTTACCTCAAAAAATTGCCAGCAGCTCTGTTCCCATTTTCGCAATCAGAAGCCAAGGGACTGAGAAGTGAGTCACATGGGTTGTCACCCACAGAACTTCCACTTGATACAGAAGCAGTGGCCAAATCAGCCTCTGTACCCGTGTTCTCGACCCTGCTCATCGCACTCTGGGGCTTTGGAAGTGGCAAAAAAGAAGGCTTAGAACCTCTATCCAATCTCAGTCCTTTCGATGCATTAATACCCGAGCCAATGCGGCTCGTAATAGGAGGACGCACGGTAGGAAGCGGAAGAGGTACAGGGAGAGACCTCTCTGCAAAACTCTGACAACGTGATACTTGAGTAGAAGGAGATGGAGATCTTGATGGCACTCTAGATATAGCATCTCTTTCGGGAAAAATGTCATCACAACATCTACGCCGTCCTCTTGACCGACCACTGCGAGACCTCTCTTCAGACGCTATTCTAAATTTCCGATGCAACGTATCAATGAAACTCTCCTTGTTTGCTTTCTTCTTTTCATCTTTAGATGAAGACTTAACCCACCAAGAAGGCATAATTGTCCCACTAACAGGGACACGCTGTAAATCTCAAAGATCTAGTTCCAGACTACAACAAAGTAACTATCCTTTTAGCCCCTTCAAACATCCATCCTTGGTTAAACACCAGTCAGGTCCACACATGAAAAACAAATACTTGCAAAGGCATAACCTTTTATCCCTCCGTTGACCAAACCTGATGATAACAGTATAAAGCCAGAGTCAGAGTTTCATAGTCAGGCTACCGAAATAACATTCTGATAATGGCACTAAGCTATATTAACTGTTGATCATACCATAGCATGCATGAAGGTGAGCATAAAAACAGAATAAACAATCACCAGAAACATCCTTGCCCATCAATTCAAAGGGTTTTTTTACCATCTCATGACGATCAAATTCCGAAAACAATTAAAAAAATCAGTATACTACAGAATGTTTTCAATCCCCCAACTCGTGAAATAAAAGAATTTGTTGACCCGGGTCAGCTTGTTAAGAATTTCAAGTAATGCTGACACAGTATACTGCTGTATTACACACAAGGCATTTTCAGACAGTGCGATCATCTTCTACAGCCATCTGCCCTAGCTACCCAAGATCCATTTCCAACAGTGAAGCTAGATTTCAATCAGGAGATCTAAACAGACAAATTCCACGTGTATAACAAACTTGGAAACCGAACGCAACGAATAAAAAACATAGGATATGCGGAGACACGACCATTGAACTCCAATTGCTCTGAACCTCGAATCGGAACAGAAACTCGGGATAAGTTTGAATCCTTGGGAAATCAACCGCAACTAACTGAACCCAGAACGTAAATCTCAGTAATTACCAGATTCAGCGGCACGAAGAGGATCAATCGTAAACTCGGAGCACCGAGAATCCGGGAAAACAACGGTATCAGATCCCTAATCGTCGGATACAAATGAAAAATGAGTATATGTATAGCCCAATAGCTTCCAGAATCCAGTAGCAGCAGATTCAGCAGTGACAGTCGACAAGACAAGGAAGAAGGAGAAGTCAGAAGATTGTTAGAGAGAGAGAGAGGGAGCGCGTTAGAAGAAAGCATTCATCCTCTGTTTTTCTTCATGGTGCGTTAATTTTGTAGTAAGGAGGATGATCGATAAAATAATGACAATAATTTCATTATTTTGATTTAATTATTATTTTTAGGGCTTTTTTAAAAAAAAACGGACACAAGTTACCGTTCCATCATGTATTTCTTGACTTTTTCCTTTAGGTCCTATACTTTCCGTTTCTCTCTAATTTCACCATTATCTAAATATTGAAATATTTTGGCCCCCGTCTTTAGTTGTAATGATACTTAGGCAAGGGCTTAGATTACCTATAAAATGTCAGAGTTTTATAATTTATTTAGAAAAGTTAATTTTATTTATCTTCTTAAAATATATCAATCCTATATTTTTATTAATAAAATATCTAATTTCTAAAATTTACTTATATCAAATATCAAGCGATTTGCTAAATATATAATGATATTTGTTATTGTAGACCTTTTCCTTTTTTATTTTTTACATTTTTTGTACATTCTTTCTTTTTTAAAATAAAATCTTTTCTATTAGGCTAAAGCCAATTTAGTATTTTATCTTGAATTTTTATATTTTTCTAAAGATGTCTATAGGAAAAATGAAAACATTACGCTAAAGCCAAGATTACTTAACGTGATTAACAGTTTGTAGTAACGAGATATGGATCATCCACTTATATTTGTTACAACTCATAGCAGAATGGGAAAAATATTTGTGGTGGTAAATTAATATTTGGAAAATTCACAAAAATGTGGAGGGGGAAGTCTGACTATATAGGAAAACGGAGGATGTCGGCTCGGAAAGCCAATAAGAGGACGAATGATGTCAACCGTCGGATTTAGAGATGATGACGTCAGACTATTTCCCAAAGAGGGATATGTTTATTATGATACTCCCGAAGCAGAAGATTTGTCCCTTTTTTATTTTTTGGGCCAACAGTCCTTTGGGCCAGAAAATATTTAGTCCATAATAAACTATAATGATTCTTATACTATGGGGACACGATTAGCTCGTATTTTTTCTCCATAGATCATTTGTGTAAAACAAGTGCACGTGTGGATGCACGGGGGCTTAAACTTTTTTTTTTTTTTTGTATTTTCTATGATTCTAAACATCGCTGATGTGTGTGTGTGTATATATATATAGATACACTATACACATTCAACATACTGAAATGGTGGGGGTGGAAGAACCCCGTGTCCAAATAGTGATAGCGTGACAAAGAGAGAGAGAGAGAGAGAGAGAGAGAGAGAGAGAGAGGACACCGAGATGAGTTTCAAACTCGGAAGATACTTGACAGTTTCAGTTTCAATTTCATTTTTTTTAATCCTCTAAATTTATCATAATCCATCATATAATTTCATGTACATACAAAAGGAAAGATGGGGCTTTTTCTTACATTATACGTAGGAGCGACAGCACGAGGAAAGGTTCCGACCAGTCAAGGATCAGGCTTTCCCGCGACGAGGTCCATGACGTCATCGTCATCATCATCATCGTCATCTTCATCGTCGCTTACGTCTTCGTCACTGGATTCCCCATCGCCCTCTGCCGCTGTGTTCTCTGGCTTCGCATACTTCTCCGTGTATTCTGCGTAATGAGACAGGAAGAGAATCAACTTCATCTTAAAGGAGAACCATCTTAAATGTGACTTGTAAATGTTCAAGCATTACGCAAAAATGCAAAAATGCATTCAGAGAAGAGACCATAAACAATTTAGGCCGAATTCCTGGGTAAACGTTACAAAGATCAGTATTTTCAAGAACCCATTGAGACTGAGCTCAAGAAAAATGCAGTTTTAGGTTCTCCAAGTCAAAAAGGTTCCCATGGAAGAAGATAAGTTTTGAAAGATCAATACTTTCAAGAACCCATTGAAACTAAGCTTGAGAAAAGTTTTGCTTCCGATTCTCCGAAGCAAAAGGTTCCCATGGAAGATAAGTTTTGAAAGATCAATACTTTCAAGAACCCGTTGAGACTAAGCTCGAGAAAAGTGCAGTTTTCAATTCTCCAAATCAAAAAGGTTCCCATGGAAGAAGATAAGTTTTAAAAAATCAATACTTTCAAGAACCCATTGAGACTAAGCTGAGAAAAGTGCAGTTTCCGATTCTCCAAAGCAAAATGTTCTCTCATCCAAGAAGATTAAGTTTTAAAAGCAAAGGAACAAATCCGAATCAAAATCCTAGCAAAGCAAATATATAGAAAGGGCTTAGTCCCGCTATGTTATTTACCTTTTACTCGTTGATCATAAGCAGCACGATCACGCATTTGTAAAGCGGCCGCTTCCCCATTCAATGGATCTGATGCGTTCGGATACAGAAGAAGCTGAGGAAGAAATGTCTCAAACACATTCACCAGATCTGAGAATAAAAAAAAGCTTGAACTGAGAGGTGTATAAAAACTACAAAACAACAAGAAGCTGATCAATGTCTATCCACTAATTGAAACAAGCAACTGCATTTCGTCCCCTACCAAACATAGGGCTCCATGTCTGGTTGATCACATCTAAACAAACTGAACCCGACCTGTAACACGAGGGTTAAGATAAGGCATCCGAAACCGATTCCTTAACAAGCTGTAATGATCTATCACCACGGCATATAAAAGATACAAGCTTTCATCATCGAAACATTTGCAAACTCACATTTCGTCAACATTTGGGTGGTAGATTTTGGTGACGAATCCAACTGATGGAGATTTGTACGGATAAGCATCTGGTAGCTCGACCCTTATCTTCCAGACACCTCCCTCATAAGGGCCTTTCCACAGTTCAGACACAAACAAAAACAGAACAAACATTTTCTCATGATCCAAACAAAAACTAGAAATCTTGAATCTACAGACAGAGTATTACCGTCAGCAGAACAAGAAAATCATGAAACATATACACATGAACCCCACATTCAAACTCAAAAGAGATAACGATGGTGGAAAAAAAAAATGCGGTGTTCAACAAATCTGCGGCTCAGAGAACAGTGGGTTGTGAACAAGACGACGATCCAACAAAAACAAAAGCCTATAAAAAAAAGGACGAACAGGAGATGACTCGGTTCATCAAATAAAGAAAACGCAACAGGATCATTGAATCAAACCAAGTTTCAATCAGAGGGTATTGAAGAATTTTTTTTTACTGTCTTTGGGTCCATTGAAATCGACATAGAATTCTTGCATGCCATCGTTGATCATCTCCACCTTATAGTCGCTCATCATCCTATTTCGCATCAATCGCAAGAACCCAGAAAAAACAATCAGCTCAGAAATCGAAACAAACCGGAAAAAAAGAAAACAAAAAAGTGATTACAGTTTCATCAAATCCATCTCCCGGCGCTTGCTCGGTGAAGACATTTTTTGCTCCTCTTTCTTGGATTTTCTTTCGGTTTATGTCAGAATTGGGCGAAAACGGAGAGGAGATGTGAGAATTTATGTTATATCTACGGGTCTCTACGAGAAAAAGATAGAACCCTTCTCTCTGTAAATTCTTTGGAACCCTTACCACAGTAAATCTGTGAAAACTTTCTTTTTTTTAACTTTTTAAGGTAACCTTTTGTTTTTCGCTTTCAACTTTTTTGTTTTTGTATACAGCATACTTTCCACGATTCGTAAATTTATTTTGAGAAAATCGCCATAAAAACCTTGTACTCTTTCCAAGTCAACGAAAAAACCCTGTACTTTTTTGCTTACCAATTAAACCCTATACTTGGTATGATTAACCAAAAAAACCCCAAACTTGTTAATAATTCACCGAAAACCCCCGGCGCCTGCCAACTCAAACAAAAATGATGATGTGGCAATGACTTGACTTCCAAGTTATGTACACATCATCAAAATTATGACACATCATCATTTTAAATAAAAATAAATAACATAATTTATTTAAATTAATTTATATACATATAAATTCATATATATATATATATATATATTATATATATTAAATATAAAATTACTTATAACTAATAAAACACACACATATATATATATATTATTTATAATATAATTATAAATAATATATATATACATATTATTTTTTTAATATATTGTATATATATTAGTTATAATTACTTTTATTTTAATATGGATATTAGTTATATATATATGTTACATGTATAACTAATATATATATATACATATTATTTTTAATAGATACATTATATGTGTATGTGTTAGTTATAATTATTTTTGTTGTAATATGTATATGTATTAGTTATACTATATAATATATATATATATATATATATTTATTAATACATATGATATATATATACAACTAATATGCATATTAAAATAAAAGTAATTATAACTAATATATACACTATATATTAAAAAAATAATATATATACAATATATATTAACAAATAATATGTATATATATATATTATTTTTAATGTAATTTATAATATATATATATATATATATGTTTTATTAGTTATAAGTAATTTTATATTTAATATATATATATGTGAATTTATATGTATATAAATTAATTTAAATAATTATGTAATTTATTTTTGTTTGTAATGGTGATGTGTCATAATTTTGATGATGTGTACATAACTTGGAAACCAAGTTATTGCCACATCATCATATTTATTTGAGTTGGCAGGCGCAGGGGGTTTTCGGTGAATTATTAACAAGTTTGGGGTTTTATTGGTTAATGATACCAAGTATAGGGTTTAATTGGTAAGCAAAAAAGTATAGGGTTTTTTCGTTGACCTAGGAAGAGTACAGGGTTTTTATGGCGATATCCCCATTTATTTTTATTTCTTAGTTTTTTGGACTCCTTGATGGCATGGATACCTAATGAATTAAAATACGTAATTTTCATTCCTTTAATTTAATTATCACACGAAATGAAAATAGAACAATGTTTTCAGTGCAAGTGCTTTTATATCCAATACACTATTTAGAGTGCCTCATTCATTATAATCCAATTTATTGTTCTATATTTTGGTCATGGAAAAATTTCAATTGGGGTTCATTTTCAGGAAAATAAAAAGCATAGACAGAGATCAGATATTTTATCAATTTCAAAACTTTTGTAAACAGAGTAGAGAAGAAGAAACATCCACGAGCTTGGACATGAGAACAAGATGAGATTATGAAGAAAAAAAAACGCATATAACCACTTTCATATTCATTCACATCTCACATAATGAACCAAGATGAGAAAACCAGGCATGTGACAATCAGAATGTATACATAAATGTGTGTATATACATCCAACTAACAAAAAAAATGAACATGAACCACTTGGGAAATCAGGACAAGATTTAAAAAAAAAAAGATCAAGAAAACACACAAAAGTATCTAATAAAGAAAACGTAGACCCTCTTTTTCTTCTCCTGTAGGCTTCAACAAGTGTGAACATATGTGCCTGTACATATATATATATATATATAGATAGATAGATACTGAAATGCAATGCAAATGGTGAAAGAAGAACATCCGAGAAGACATCAAACAATATATATTCATATTATGTGCATACATATATATATATATACATATATATATATTAGCTTGTCTTACTATAGTTTTATTTTTCTTCTTCTTCTCCTCCTTTTTCTTTTTTCGTTTTTTGCATTCTGAGAGAATTGAGGGTCCAAAGAACACCAAGGGACGTACCAGTGGTAGAGAGATGGTAAACACAAAGACACCAATTTCAAATTGCTAGCTAATCCATGGGAGAATCGAATACCATTTCCTGCAAAACGAAACGATTCCTAATAAACGTCACATGCACTAACAGAAAATATCCGAGTTTTGGAGAAGACAATGATGAAGAATAACCTCCAAACTACGAACTTTGGTAATAATACTAAAGAACCTAGTCCAACAGTTCCATTTCCGGAGCTAATCCTACTGCTACGTTTTTCCAATCTGCCATTTTAACTTTGAACATGTAACACATGCAAGATTCTCTTATCGAACCATCAGATATAAGGGAAAATTTGTTCGCTTCAAGAAAGTTCAGTGGTTTTGTCCTAAACAAGAATTATTGGAAAATGTTTTAGTTCTGATAGAACGTACCTTGTCACAGACGGGACATGTTTCACTTCTCTCCATCCATTCGAGAATGCATGCCAGGTGAAAATGGTGCTCACAATTCGTATGAAGTTTTGGGTTCTCGATATCATACTCTGAAACGAGGTAAGATAATGCATATGAAGCGTTATGCAATCCAGAGAACCAAAACATATGAATCTACATGAGAGAGAGAAAATGGGACAGTTATGTCCGAGGTGTAAAGCAAAACATCACCTTCCAAACAGATGGGACAGCAGTCTTCCTCCTCAGTTGGTGAGAAGACATCCTCCAGTTGCTTTGAGATCTTGGGGTCTATCTCATCTACCGATCCAAGATCGATGTCTGTTTGCAATTTGCAATCTGTTTCTTTATCTGGAGAACTATTTGGAACCCCGAGGGTGAAACCCTCAACAGTTCCCTGAGCAGAGTCAGAATTTGTGATTTCCTCTGACCCGTCTCTTTTATCAGCACAAATCTCTTGTGCCCTTCGTGGAGTCTGAGGATGCCCTAAAGCCACGTCGAAAGGGAGAGGTAGGGGTGGTGGTATATAAGCATCGGGAGATGATGTCTCTAGGTTTGTGTCTACCAGAACACCAGAAGAGATTCCTGAGGAAGTCCTGTTATGAGAGGATAAAGGAACACGCTCTTCTGTTGCCCTTGGGTACTGTAGAGCCAAGATTAAATGTGGAGACCAACAATGGAAAACATCAATATCTTGAATTCAGCATTGTTACAGTTTCAGCTAAAAAGTGTAACTTTGAGCTCTAAGCCCTGACAACAAATTTGAGCCTGTCAGAGTCTCCAGCATTAAGCGGAGGTTATATGCATTATCATTGCAAGGCTGACCAGCAAGTTCATTCGGTACCGTGCAAAGTAACTGACTATTTCACAGATCATCTTCAGAAAAGAACCCCCCAAAAAAAGCAAGAAAAAGGTTGTGAATGGGTGATGGATGACTAGAGAACAGAGTAGACATCATACTAACATAATAGTATGCAGGCCTGTTATCTACTTCAGCACTTCGCGAAGAACAACAACAGCAACCTCCCATTTCGTCTTTCTTATCACAAATTCCAAAATCGTTGACACTGCATCTATGCTAACCTACAATCAGCAATAAGTTAACAGGAAAAGATTAATAGAGATACAGCAAACCATACTGATACTCGAACATTATATCCAACCTGACAGAAAATTTCTTAATATAACACAAATTCAGTCACAAGTATGCCATTACCCAGATATAAATGCATCCATTGAACAAGCAGAACAAATGTCATGTCACGAACTCCGACCAGACAGTAGTTATGAATTCACTGTTTATATGTTGTAAATGAAGCGTACAAGCCATTGCCAAACAGAAGAAGCCTTATACGCACGGACTCCATCAAATTCTGTGTTCGAATGGGAACACATGAATAGAGCAAAACGCCTAGTTTAAGTTTCATCGAATCTAATCCAACTATGAATTCTTATCGTTCCGATATCACATTGATTCTCAGCCAATTCAAGGACCGACGCCGTTTCTTCTTCTGCAACATATCACCCTCATCATCTCCAAACATGAGTCTCAAACGCAAACCTGGTGATGAGAGATTACCGATTTCCTCGAATTTCATACCAGACACGTGTCTTAGATATGATGAATTCGACTGATAAGAAAGCATTGCAAAGCCGTTTAGGCTATTAGACCAAAACACAAACAGTTCTCACCAGCTGAGCTCAGCGAATCCAACACCACAGAATCAAAACCCCAAGAGAATCACCGGGAGGAGCTGCGTTTACACACGGAACCAAGCTCGGCAAAACCCTAGCCGAAACTTCACCAGGCATCGATAAAACACCGAAATTCAACAATCAGCATCAAAGAAGATCAAAGAGGAAGGATCCATCTGTATCAGGAAGAAGAACCGAAGATTTTCGACAAAAGAAGAAGAAAATTAAATTCTCTTACAAATATGGGGAGAAATTTTTGGCTTCTTTTTCGTGTCTTCTTCTTCTGCGCCTAAGAAACGACTTCCATTGGAAAATGGAAGACTCATGGGGAATAAAATATCGCTACATTGTTAAAGCTACTTTACACTTAATTAATAAACTAATTAATTGATATGATAAATTAAAAAAAACCAACAATACTTATCTTATACAAAAATAACCTTTTACCTTCAATTTTTTACAACAATATATCGATTCTTAATTTTTAAAAAAATCAAACTTACTAATAAAACATTTTATTTTAATTTTTTATTAAAAACATCAATTTTTAATTTAATAAAACATATTTAATATATTTCTTCAAATTATATTATTAATTTATATATAAATTATACATTATAATATTTAAGTTATTAAATTTTTTATAAAAATAAAAATGCTGGTTTTAAACATATCAAATATTAATAAATTATAAAATTTTAAATATAAGTTTTATAATTGATAAAATGTATCTAATTTTAAATATAAAATAAAAATGTACGATGTTTACAAATTACACAATTCTAAATATTAAAATAAAAATCTTAGTATTTAAATATGTTAAATTTTCATAAAATTTTAGTTTTTATTTTGATATTTAGAATTGTATAATTTATATTTTTAAAAGTTTATAGATTTTTACTATAAATTTAAAATGAAATATTTTTTTAAATAAATTATATAGTTAATAATATTTTAGAATTAATAATTGATAATTTTAATAATAAATTTAATATATAAATTTTTTGTATAAATAATATAGCTGACGTTTTTTTAATTTTTTTTAGCTTAATAGTAAACCATTTCATGAAGTTTCGATTATTATAAAAATTAAAAAAATTGTTATTTTATATTTAAATCTCGTCAATCTCCTATGTATATTTAATATTTCATTTAGAACTAATATAATATATTTTTTTCTTTGGTAACGATATAATATTGTTCTTACTCGTGACATTTTATAACAATAGCAATATGTATTATTAAACATTTATTTTATAGTTTATAATATTTATGTATGTATTTATTAGACTAAGCAGTGTTACAGTACAAATGTATTTCCATGTATTTTTTCAGGAGAAGGAAATGTCAAATATTTCGTTTTTTAATCATTTATTCATTCATTTCGTGATCATTGAAAACTGATGACACGCTTACCGGAGTATATTTCCGGGTCTTAAAATTTGATTTTTTTTAATTTTAAAAATATAATATTTATTATACTGGAATTTATTTTAGTTTTTATGAATATTTTTTTAATCTCTTCTCTGTTTAACTTTTTAAATTAAAATTTATTTCCAATTAAATTGATTTTATAAAAAAAAAACTATATGTAGTAAATTTAATATATTATATTTTTTTGATTAGTTTAGTTTAGTTTTTGCTTACCTACTAGTAGTACCAACTGCCAAGTGCCAACTACACTAACCTTTCACTCGTGCTTCCACGTGGCAGTGGGCCCAGCCCACATTCCTTATCAGGCCCTCTTCTGTTTATGGGTCTGATGGATATATCACATTTAGGCTTGGACCTCATACACAACCCATCATTTTTGTTTACAGTATTTTATTCTTCTTAAAAATTCATGTACATTATTTTTAAAAATTATGCATCATATATATATATATATATTGTATATTTTACCTATTTTATTATGATATTTGAAATATGAAATTTAAAGTACCTAATATTATATAACTATTCAGAAAGATATCATGCAAATTTGTATAAATACTTAGACATATTTTTAATGACTTGTTTTTTGTTGCAATTTGAACCCATAATAATAGTAAAAAAGAAGAGACTCCAAACGAAACCAAAAGCGGTAATTTATGGTAAATTAATAATTTTAAAAATATATTTTCTTTTGGGATAATTCGATTTAAAACTCTGTACTTTTCTCTCGTCGCAATTTAAACCCTATACTTTTTTTTGATCCAAAAAAACATTGTACTTTTAAAAATTAGAAATTAAAACTCTATACTTTTAAAAATTGGCAAATAAAACCCTGAATGAAAAAATATATTATTTAATGCTGACATGGCATCCTAGTCATCTACCACATCATCAATCCCTAATATTTAATAATATTAATTAATACAAAATAAAAATAAAATAATAATAATAATAAAAATAAAATTTTAAAAATTATACACATACATATATAATGAAATGATATACATATATACACATATATAAACATATTTATATATATACACACATATATATAAATAATACATATATATATATATATATGTGTTTTATATGCATATGTGGTATATGTATTTTTTTTCTAAAAATCAAGCATATGTCACATATATATATGATTTTTAGAAAAACATGTATATATCACACATACATATAAAACATATTTATATATACATATATATATATATGTATGTATTATATAGATATATAGGGATTGATGATGTGGCAGATGACTAGGATGCTATGTCAGCATTAAATAATATTGTTTTTCATTCAGGGTTTTATTTGCCAATTTTTAAAAATATAGAGTTTTAATTGCCAATTTTTAAAAGTACAATGTTTTTTGGATAAAAAAAAAATAAAGGGTTTAAATTGAGACGAGAGAAAAGTACAGGGTTTTAAATGGAATTATCCCTTTCCTTTTTCTTTAGAGGAGAGAGAGAGAGCACCAACTGCACCGCGGTCCTACAACCACCAAATTTTTCAGGCTGGCCATTATTATCATATCCATAGTATCTCCTTAGATTCATGGGATCCTAATTAAATAAGATTTTTTTTTAATTTCTTGAGAAAATTATATTACCATCAATCATACATACATTCACTGAAACATATACGATTTTTACATTTTTATTTTCTATTGTATTATTGACGAATGCTTATGTATATATTAATTTAATTAATTTTTCTAACATAACGAAATTAGAATATTTTTGTGAAAAAAATCTAACGAAATCTGTTTATGAAAAAAATTGAAATAGACTTTAGATATTAGAATATTTTTTTTGGTATATTAACAAATCTAACGTATTTATTAAAAACTAAAACGTCCGTGCACTTATTTAATTATTTAGTACAGTTTGAAGAGTTTTTTTTTTTTGGGAATTTTCGCTATAACATAATAATTGTGTTTATTATATCTAAGCCTATACACAAGGGTTTGATTGCATGCAAAAAAAGGTTAGGACACCGAAGACAATATCAGATTCAGATCAAGAAACAGAGATAGGTCAAATTAGGTTAAATACATATATATATATATATATATATGTTAGATACCAAGACACAAATACGTGTGTATATATATGTATATATATATATATATTCACTAAATTATACATAAGATTCATTAGACGGAGGCTGCGGTGGTGTCAACGTGGTCAATCGCTGATGATCTGCCTCATTCTTTTTGCCGCGACAATGAAGTCCGATATGACCTGTTCTTCATTCATCCTCGGCTGCAGCATGCCCAACAAGCAATAAAACAAAAAAAAAACATTTCAGAATCATGTAAAAGTTCATATAATTATTAGTATTTGCTTTGGTTTTATTCTTTATATAAAGAATATAACTCCTAATATAAAAAGGAAAATTAAATCAAATAAGAACATGTACTTACAGAATTAGATATAAGCATTCTAAGCGTTATCTATTTAAACTCCATCATTATGATTAATAATAATAATAATAATAATTCACTGCATCATAAATTTGACAAAATCCGACAAGATTAGAGTACCTGCGAGGTGAAATGGTGATGAACGGCATTGAGCATTTGATCCCTCGAAGAATCTGGATTGATCCCGGGCTATGATGATGAAAAAGAAAACAATGGAGAGAAAAAAAGCATCAATATTCTGTATTCTTTTCTTTCTTTTTTTGGTAATGAAAATATCAAGAAATGGGTGACATAACATCAATATCTTGTCGGAAAAAAGACGAAGAAAACAAATGGGTGAGGAGCGAGGATGGAAGACTGACGAGGTTGAAATGTCTGCAATATCTTCTCAAGGCACTTGTCCCCAGCTTCCCAAAGTTCACCCTCTGATTCAATCCAAACAGGAAAAGCGTTCAAATGGCTTAAAACGAGCAACGAGTTCAGATTGATGGATGTGTGATGAACAGATTCGGACCGAACATTATTGTTCTTACACATGGGTTTGGATGAAGAATCGAATGAACATCTCGGTAGCTGCTACGGCTGGATCGAGAAACCGAAGACGAAAGCCACGGCTTTGGCTGTCTGATTCTTGGTCTGCCCAGCCTGTGGAACTCAAAGCCTGCAGCTGCATTAGAACACGTTCAAACAAACGCAAACCCATTTTTGTGGGAAAATCGGGCAATGAAGCGAATCGATCAACTCACGGAAATCTCGATGCTCCTTCTCGCCATGATCCGATCCGCTACTGAACATATCGATATCATCGTCGTCGTCGTCATCTAGCTTGTTCCCGGTCGGGTGTTCCAACACACTCAACGCATTTCTTTGGAGCTTAACTTCAATCCCATTTTTCAGAACCTTGTGCACAGGAAAACTAGAAATGATCAACCATCTCAAACACCCAACAATACATTGGCAATGGCATTGAACGAAAGCATTGGTCAAGAATTCAAAGTGAGAAAAGATTGGTTCTTTCATCAGCAAAAAAAGGTTCATGAATAGTCAACAACAGTCATAATGACCTAAGATAATCAAAAGCTTGATTAGGTATTTCACAGGGCACCCAAATGATTAAAGCACTACTAATCAACCAATCAATCAAAATCAGCTTTAGAGTGAGAGACGGATGGAATGTGGTAAAAATGGACAAACAAGATATAAAGACAGAGACTTTAATTATCACAAAATCAATCAAGGAAGAGAGATTGTTCTTTTTTACCAGCCAATGCCAACCACCAAGACCAACAGCCTTCTTCACCACACCTTGCAAACCCACCAAGACAGATTTTGTTCTGTTGTTCCCCGTGACAATAACTTTGGTGTGTCGGGGAAGAACAGAGAGTTCTTCCTCTCCCAGAGTCTCCTCTCTAAATGCCGAGAATACCCTTGAAGAGCTCAACATTGGCTCCATCATTATCCAGTCCCCAATATCAATCGGATCCACTCCACAAGACAGGTTCTACTTGTTCTTCAAGATTCTTCTTGTATTTGTATCCCCCCCTGAAACCGGATTCTTCCCTGCCAATTGGGGCTTATGGATCTGATGTGATCTTTCCCATTTGTTGTCCGAGAAAATCTCTAGTGCTGCTACTGGGAAAAATTCCAAAAGATTACAGCTGCAAAGAAGGTTAATGAACTCATCCTCCAAGAACAAGAAATCCCAATAAATTAAAAAAAAAAACTGCAATTCTACAGATTAGAGAGGCATAATGCTACAAAAAAATCCCAATATGAAAAAAAAAATCAAAAATTGCTACAAGGGCGTGAAGCTCTGTCCCGGGAACGGATCCGAGGAGAGAGAATTTCTGAGATTGAACTGAGTAGGCGGCGGGTCTGGATAATATTCATAAAGAATTATGATAACAATTATAATAATAACGACCATACGGCTATTACATGGTATTTGAATGACTATTCACTAGCAAATTTAATCACACATCCGTCCGTCAATGGGTGGAAAAGGACTTGTTTTTTTTTTTGTTAACTTGGAAAAGGACTTGTTTGGCTCCCGAGAAAATCCTCATATAAAAATATGGGGAAAGCTTTACAACTGTGCATCAATCAAGCAAACAAAATGAAAGCGAAATCCAAAACCCGAAACCGACCAAGTTCGGGAAACTCAAAAAATGACGGAAAACAAAAAATACCATTTGCTTTCACACCGAGAAAGTTAATGAATTTTCCCAGGAAAAAACGTAGATAAGAGAGGAGTTCGCGAATGATACGGATTAAAAAATGAATGAACCCACAGAAGATTTCAGATGGGAACCAGCGGGAAAAAAGAAACGATACTGAGTTGTCGGAAGTACTAGCGTCACATTTTCCCGAGAAAAACACAGATTCACCCAGGAAAATGGCGAGAAAATAGAATTCATGCACTTGAACACGCAGAGTTTGATACCAAGCTGATCAAATCAAACACCGGAAAGCAAAATCTCAATCGAAATGCAACACAGATAATCGAGAAAGAAATGGGAAAAGGGATCAGAATACCTTTCAAAGCCAAAAAATCTCGAGGAAATTCGAAATTTGAGTAAGAATTCGCACAGCTTTTGAGTGAGAGAGAGAAGAGCACTAAATGCTTACGAACAGCCAAAGGAAGGGGAGCCACATGCCATGTGCCGTACGGTCACGCCTTGGCTACCGGCTCGTCCGGTTTCCCGGTCACGGATATTAACCCTTTAATTCGACTCGATGTCTTTGTTTTTTTCCTCGTGACTAAAATCGCATTTGTTGAAACCAAAAAAAAACATTGGATACCACGAAATTGAATGCTTTGTTTTGGTGCGTAATTAATTCATTCAGATAACGAAAAAAAAATGATCAATGCACAATGCAATTAATCATTTATTTCAAAATATTTGTAGTTTTAGTTTATTTTCCATGTTTCAAAATATTTATCATTCTACATTTTTATTCTACATTTTTAAGACATTTTTTTATAATAGTTTCCAATTTTATCTCTCTTAAATCCAAATAAATTATTAATGATAATAGTATTATTTTTATCATTAAATAAGGGTATACATGAACTATCACCAAATCGAACTCGCATAGTTTTAGATTGAAGAATATACTTTTTTAAACTAATCTTATTGGTCAATTATTCCTTCTTCTTTTGAATTTAATAATTTCTATCAATTTCAGATTAAATTAATTAATAAGACATTGTTCTATGAAAATTGAACTTTTAGTGGATATATATATATATATATATAGATCCGCTACTGAACATATCGATATCATCGTCGTCGTCGTCATCGTGACTTGTAAATGTTCAAGCATTACGCAAAAATGCAAAAATGCATTCAGAGAAGAGACCATAAACAATTTAGGCCGAATTCCTGGGTAAACGTTACAAAGATCAGTATTTTCAAGAACCCATTGAGACTGAGCTCAAGAAAAATGCAGTTTTAGGTTCTCCAAGTCAAAAAGGTTCCCATGGAAGAAGATAAGTTTTGAAAGATCAATACTTTCAAGAACCCATTGAAACTAAGCTTGAGAAAAGTTTTGCTTCCGATTCTCCGAAGCAAAAGGTTCCCATGGAAGATAAGTTTTGAAAGATCAATACTTTCAAGAACCCGTTGAGACTAAGGTTTTATATTACGGGCTTTGTCGTATTGTCAGGACGCGGGAAAATCCAAAGGTGGGCTCCAGAGACAGACAGAAAAATCATTATAAAAAAAAGTGGGTCCCACTGAATACATGAACGCTTGCGTGACTGTATTAATGAAAATGGTCGTCGTCGTCCTCACCCTCCATACCCCTAAAATTCGTGCCTCCTAATTAACGTACGAAATCATAATTTTTATAAAAAATAAATAAATAAAACATTCAGATTATCCGAATTAGGTCTCTGCAAAGTTACCCTAATATCCGTTTAGAGTTTGGAAAAAAAAATAAATGTTGTTCCGAAGTTTAAGTAAATATTATTTTTAATAAAAATTGTTATTAAATATCTATATGTATTAGATATCCGGCAAAAAAAATATTTTTGAGACGGTTATTTGGATGTATCAATCTAATAAATTCAACTCTGATTGACAAGGATGCGTCATGCAATTTAGACCGTATAAAAAATCCCCTTTTTCCTATAGTCAAGCTAAAGTATAAAGTTTTTATTTTGTTTTTATGTGAATATTTTGAGATTTGACTTCAAACCCTATACAAATATTATCTATTTTAGGGGGAAAAAAATTAAACGTGATGTTGTGGAAATGTCACGAGTGGAACCATTTACTATAATAAATTTGTTTCCAATGGAAAATGCGTATATATATATATATATATAACAGAAAAAATATGTATAATTTTCTCTGCAACGGTCTCCCAAACACGGCCTTAGGGCATGAGGTGCGTTCTGTATCTCCGACAACATTTTAACGGCCAGGATTTGATCTCTTAAGGTTCCGCACAAAAAATCTATGCCACAACATAACAAAGTCATGGAAGTTGCCCTTTGATCTTTTTTTTTCCCAATTACAGCCGGTTATATCGTGACACGTGTCATATATCTAACCGTCTGTTGGAGTAATAATAGATTCATAAGCCATTAGGGATATAATATCGGTTTGCTTATTTCGTTTTGAGTTAATAGTTTAATTTTACAACATCAGTTAAAAAAACTAATTAATCTATGTTTTTCTTTTATAAATTTAATATCTAATTTATATAGATTTTATATACTATCGAAGTTGTCCGAGGATATTAAGAGAAAGAAAAGAGGACTTTTCTTATGAAATATTGTTAGGATTAGGCACAATTGAAATTTGGTCTCACGTCCGCCACGCAGCTGGCTCGCACTCTAATATCATATATATATATATATATATATACGTCGCGCGTTTGAATTGAATGGATGGAAATATTTTAGGATGAAAATTAAATGCCTAATATTAATGGATTTCCTATTTTATATAAGTTTTTATTATTATGACTAGGTATTGTTCATTGGATTCTTTATAGTTTCTTTTTAAAATGGATTCTTAATAATTTATCAAAATTAAAACGTCGAGGGATGATGTGAATGAATGCGATGTACCAAGTGGGCTTTTTTTACCATTATGATAAGGAATGTGAAAAACATAGAAAAATGGGCATTTAGCCCAACAAAGAAAACACGTAGGCCCATTATTGTTTATATCATTAAGCCCGTTATGGGCCCGCTAAGGTAAAGCTCATTGGTCATGGGAAATGATAAATCCCGACCAATCATTGTTGATTCATCGTATCATTGATCAAACCATTTTAGGTTACTGTTATTGGTTCTGTAGATCTCGTATATACATATACATATATATATGTGTGTGTGTGTATGTGATGTATTTATACATAAAACATATACATGCATCCCAACAAAAAATGAACAGAGCGTAATTAGTCCTTTACAAACAAGCCTACCATTTTCTTTTCTTTTTTCTTTTCCATAACAGGTTTATTTTCTATCTAATTAACCAAAATGTGCGATACAAGTATGGACACAATTTTTTAAATAAAAGAAAATAGAAGAGAATCTTTAACTAACGTATTTGGAGCAAAACACATAATGCTCTATGCACATGCATGTGTACAGTATCAAATTATATCTCATTGATTTTCAAGTCTATATTTGGGACCCATTTATGTTTTCTCCTAAATATTTAATACTTCGTATAGAGATGAATCGCAAAATAGTCCCTCTCTACGTTTCATAACCCATAAATATATACATTCATATTTTGTGTCCTTTTATATATATATATATATATATATATATATGGTTTATGAGAAGAGAAATTCATCGATATAATATAATACGTGATCACAGAGTGGTGCATGTGGTTGAGAATGGTAAGGGTATTCTTGTTCCAAACCTCATGTTCGCGCGGTTGGAGAGAAAGTGTACAATTTAATTGTGGTAAACAATGTTCCAAACTTTGAAATATATAGTTGGATCAAAGATAAATTAAATTTCTAAATTTAAAAAATAATAATAATATATATTTTTCCCCCATTCAAGGGTTAATCCCATATTCCCCCACAAATTTTCGAAAAAGTTCCAATTTTCTACACCAATTTTTAATTTGATACAAAACTACATCGGATTTCAAATATTTCCAAATTTCCACACAAAATCTTAAAATGTGTTGCAATTTCTCCCATATCTGTAAACGCCGTTAAGTTCCGTCAATTTTTATGCTGACGTGGCATGCCACATCATACAGATTTTGCCAAATCATCACATTGCGCCACATCATCCTGCCACGTCAGAAAATAAGTAAAAATAAAATAAAAAAAAAAATTTCCAGAATTTTTTTAAAAAAACTAATAAAATAAAATAAAAAATACAGAATTTTAAATTTTAAACAAAAATTTTAAAAATTGGTGTAGGAAATTTGAACTTTTTCAAAAATTTGTGGGGGAATATGAGATTAACCCTCCATTTAATTAGCTGGTGATCTTTTTATAGGAAGTGAACCGTTTTTTTTTTTTTTTGCCTTAACCGCTTTTGTTTTGCTAAATGTTATTTTTGTTTAATACTTTTAGTTCGATTATAATATTAATTTTTTTTATAATCAATTTGCCGCACGAGGGCTGAAGGAGTGATCGTGGCTTTCGCATATACCTACCTCTGTATCTATATATCTAGGCACCAAAAGATATATAATATAATGATGGTAATGAATCATTCATCACTTGCCATCTTTAATCTTTTATTGCCTTTTCGCTTTCTAGTCAAAGTGGGTCAAGCTCATTAAATTCTATCGAATTTTGTATATCGTTGCACATTTAAACATTTTTATCTAAAATAATTGAAAAAAGATGATATAATGTTCCTTAAAAATGTACACCATATTATATCCTTAATATATACGTATACAATTGTATTATATCCTTAATATATGCAAACATGTACGTATACATTTGTAGTGAATATTATATCCTTAATATATATGTATACTATTACTGTATACATTACACGAATGAATAAGACGTGCATTTGTAGGGAATATTATTATTAGTTTAAGTTTTGCGTGTATATATATGCATATATGTGTGTGTATATGTATATACACATATATAAGTGACCGAAAGCTAAAATGATTGGAACCGTGTGGGCTCGAACTGGTTTGTAAAAACACTCGCACGCGCAGACAATCCTACGTGTGCCACGTGGCTCGCATCAGAACATATTCCCACTAATGTAAGCTTCTCTCATTTGATATCTCTAGTGCCTAAATATTACATTTTTACCCTCACAATTAATTGAATTTCTTAAATATTTTTCCTTTTTTTGTGAAAAAAAATATTTTTCTTTTTTTAATAATTAAGAGATGGATCGATGTAAGAGCATAGCTAGAAAATGCACACTAATATGTAGAGATGTATATTTTTTTTATATTTTATTGAGAAACGAGTATCATGGATTACATTTTATCGTTTGAACTATCTAAATTTTAGTTATATTACTTTTACAATATTTTTAGCATAATACACAGAATAAACCGTGAGAAAATTTAATTGTGTTGTAAATACAAAATATAAAAGTAAAGGATGTTAAAAGATTATACAAAACTCGAAACTTTCATTTATTTATTTTTTCTTCTCCATGGATAATACATTTTTGTTGTTACCACTAACTATATTATATATTTACTTAATTCACCAACAAAAAAAAATATATATCCCATTTTTGGATATTAAACCATAAACCTCCCCAAAAAAAATTTAAAAAGGGCAATGCCATGCCTAAGAAGATTCTTGGGGGAGGTGATCAGAAACTCCAGATTCAGACCAAACCCTCTGATTGAAAGAATCTTGAAGATCATCAGGAATGAATTGCGTACGACAAAGTGGACACGTCATCTGATTGTAATCCATCATCCAACGGTCCAGACAGCTCCGGTGGAATATATGTCGGCAATTTGTGAGCCGTCGGATTTCGTCCTCCCCTTCGAACTCGTACAGGCAAACGGCGCAGCATTCGGATCCGGACCCTGACCCGGTTATCTTCAGGTCCGAGAATCTGACCACCGGTAGTATCTCTCTGGCGAGAATAGCTGCCGGGAAGAAGCAGGATTCCGGCGGAAACGTAGAGAATGAGGACGATAAGGAGACCGTCGGCGGTTCGGCCCATGAAATCGGGTCGGGTTCGAGGAAATCGGGTAGACCCATCACCCAGAAGACGGTGGAAATCAATTTTCGGATCAGACCCAAGAAAGAGAGCGCGTGAAGGAAGAGGCTTGGAAGAAGAAGCTCCGTGTAACCCACCGGAAAACCCATAGCTCCGCCGTTAGAGAGAGAAACTAGAGAGAGATGTGAGAACTGGTGATGGGGGAGCAGATAGAGAGTGGGGGTATGTGTGTGTTTATATATACTTTGCAGGGCGTTTTTTTTCAACGACAAAAAATGACCCCATAAATTTGTTATTATTATCAATATTAATTATACGTACTTATAAAAACTAAAATAAATCTAAATTTGTAAAAAAAAATCTTTCACATTTATTTATTTTAAAAATATTACTCCAATGAAATATTTTAGATATAATTACTATATATTATTACCATTTAAAATTTTATTTTTATTTTTATAATTAAAAATTAATTTTATAGTTTCCAAAATATATCAATAATAAACTCAAAAGATATATTTTAAAATTTTAAAAATCAGTTATATTTATTATAAGAACTCAAAATTTATAGATTGATTTGAAAACATTATTACAAAATTTATTAATTAATTTTAAATAATTTTTTAAAAGTATTAAATAATTATATAGTTTTAATATTATTAAAAAATATAATAGTAATAATGTTTAGTATATAAATTATAATTTTATTAATTATATTTTATAAAATGAAAAAGAGCCAGAAAAAATTTGAGACGTTTTACTGCGTTGTATGTGCATATGTATATGTTAGATATTAATGTATTACTGTAACAGCTTATTTATTCATATTTTTTTATATATTAATAGTATTTATGTGAGCTTTTGCAACTACATGATTTATTTTAATAGACATGAGACATTGTTGGTATTTAAAAAATAAAGGAATTAAATGTTTGCATAGGAGTGAAATTAATGTCTACTTCTTGCATGAGTAATTGGGTTCTTTGACTAAATCGCAGCCCGCCCACCAAAGATGACTAAACCTTAGGTATTAGGTGATATCATATATATATATATATATATATATATATATATATATATGCTCACAATATGCAAAGTCACCTTTGGAACATTTCCTTGTGTCAAGATTTGAGGAACTAAACATTTTCTTATTCATTCAACCTAAACCAAATAATCTATATATAGACATGAAGTAAACATAATCCCAATAAAAATTACGATCTAATTTTGTTAGAACATTGATAATTTTAATACTATTAAGAATATAATTGCATAATACATAACATTATCTCTATATAAATATTTACAATTTTTAATACTACCATAAACTCATAGGCGGTAACGTATATAAGATTAGAGTATTTTCAAATTTTGACTTGAATATTTATTACATAAACTTCCTTATATTTCAAGAACATAAACAAATTTCCAAAACGCTTATACAACACGTTGGGGTCGGTTATATCTTCAACCGTTGAAGACAAAAAAATCAAACAAACGACGGTGGTGTAACCAAGAAACTATGTAAAAAAAAATCGTTTACTGATAAAACTATAATCAAACGAGGATGGTAGTATAAAAGTGCAACTGTGCAGAGAAAAATGCTCATTGATCAAACTATGTTTGACGGAGAGGACTATGATAAATATTTTTGTCGATTTTTTTTTCAGTTATTTGGAAGAGTTATAAGAGAAAACAAAAAAAAATAAAAACACAAAAATTAAATGACTAACTAATTATTTTTCAAAATCGAAGACTTCAAAATCATATATCGTCGATGAACACGATATATCGCTTCATCTCATCTCCCTCGTCTTCAATAATCATTCTTCTTGAAAATTAAAGAATTTCAAAGTCAGAGAATACAATCAGATTTTTATACCATGTTCAAAAATAAAATATTTTTTTAGTCATTCAATAAAAATCAAATATTAACATATACAGATATAAATAGAGTAAACCTGGTACCATTAGAAACTATGATCTAATCCGATTAGGATATAATTTCATAATATATATATATACATATATATATATATATATATATATGTAAGTAAGGATGTACCTCCTAAGGTCATATATAATCATGAAATATCTTAATAGGACTAATTCGTTCTTTTTTTCATTTGCAATTAATTCAATTGGAATACCATGATTTTTGTATAGCTCTGAACAAAATAATTAGTTAGACAGTCTTCAGATTTCTACTTACAACAAATGAGCACGTTAAACCCTTTTACAAATTTGCACTTATATTTACACTCATTGTATGTCCAGAAAAAAATATGAATTTTGAGAAAATAAAAGCTTATGAAATATGTCCAGAAAAAAAAAATATGAAGGTGTGGAAACAGAATTAAATGTATTTGGATCGTTCCACGAATCAAAGTCACCACTCGAGCATGAATGAATATTGAAGAATAATAAAGACACTTAAAACAAAATAAAATAAAACAAAATAAAAATCCGATTTAGAAATTTAAAAATAACGAGGAAAAAGAGGGAGAAGCAAACATACAATCTGAAGAGAAAATGGTCTTGTTTTTAGTGCAATTTCAACGCCATATACACTTCATGAAAACCAAATACTTAGCGAAAAAATAATATGTCAATATAGAATATAATTGTTATTCAGACTATCTTATTACAAAACCTAATCTTTGGAATTATACATAGACGTATATATGCATGTTAAACGAGAATGTTAAAATCATGTATCTGAACGTTGAAAGGCAGTTTGTTAGGTTATTTCCTTCTCCATATTCTCCCTATTTTTGTCCTACCTTTTGTCTCTCTTTTTTTTGTATTCTAAATTTTCATATATTAAATACAAATTATGAATTAAAAATCATTAAAACAAATTTACATAAATAATCAAATAACAGAGAAAATTATGAACCAACATAAAAAAAATTAAATAATTGTTTTGGCTAAATTTGGCAGACCCGTTAATTTTTATGCTATATCGGCCTATATATCAGGAGTTAACTATTAGAAATATAATTTATATATAACTCTAACTTTCCGTGATATTTCTAATATATATTTAGCTATTCAAACATTGGTATAGTAATGGACAGTCATGGTCATATGGCAATCTGACTAAAATGTCTGAAAGCGACAAAGCACAACTGACCCTCCCCCATCTTCTTCTCCAACATTTCACATTCTCACATTAACACTCTCTTGTTTGTATATTCACACTCTAACACAGTATATACACTGTATACATACATACATACATACATATGTGTGTGTGTATACACATGCCTGCAAGAAAGAGATAAGCGATGTGGTTTAGATCTTGAATCGAAAACTCTCTCTATATATATATACACATATATATACGTGTATATAGAGGGAAAGGTAAAAAAAACATATTAAAATAGAGAAAATGAGGCATGCCATTTTTCAATGTATATGTTAATGTCACTAACTGGCAATGTTTGGAACTATTAGAGACATATTTACAGGTAGGCCAGCTCAATCCAACCAAGATTAACCCTTTTTCGGGGAAAAAAATTAACTTAATAACCAAATAAGTAAATAAATTCAACCAAAAATGAAAAAAGAAAAAAAAAAAGCGATAAAGTTGCTTATTGTTTAGCGGGAAAAAATATTTAATAATATACACAAAGGCTAAATCCACCACTAAATTAGTAGCGTGAGCAAAATAAACAAATTAGTAAATGGAACCTATAGATATACGTATATATCATACATATGTTATCATATTTTTATTGTGCATGATTTACATGTGGATATGTATATATATATATATATATATATATAAGCTTGAAAATGTTTTATAATTCGTCATTCTTGATTTTCTTTTTCGAACTTCTCCAATGTCTTTAAATATTTCAACATTTATAAGATATATATATATATATATATATATGTGTGTGTGTGTGTGTGTGTACGGAAACTGTAGTGCAAACATGTTGGTTATTTTAATAAAAATATCACAGAACATGCTACACTGTAAAAGTGAAGTTAATTGTCTGATGCTTCAATGGAAAAATACAAATTAATTTCCTCAGTTTTGTATGTCAGACGCTGTCGTTTTGACAGCAAGCTCAGCAACTAATCAGATTTTTAATTATTTAACACAATACTGCCCTTTTTTTTTAATAGTTGTTTTACACGCAAATCCAATGTCAGCACTTTTATTTTCATTTTAAATATTAACATAGCATTTAATTAATACGTCAAAAACTTTTACTTGGCTTACTATCCATTAGATTTGTAAAATAGTTTTTTTTTTTAAAATAGCATTGTAGCTTTTACATACTTTTATTTTATGTAAAGAATCTTTAATTTATCACTAAAATGCTTCAATGATACACACTTGAAACTTAAATAACCAATGTAATTTTTTAAATTTTATTATATTAGACAGCTAATTGGACACGGGAAAATGTATATTTTCGTCATTTTATTATTATATTATTTTTTTGTAATTTTGTAAAAATAGGAACATGTCACACTATGTTAATGATTGGTCACGTAGATTGAGAAGACTGCTTGGTCCACGTTGCTTTTTCCTTTTTCTTCGTTCCCTATGTTTTTTTTTACCGGTCTTTTCCTTTTTTCATTTCATTCGAAAGAGCAGTATACACACACACACACACATATATATATATATATATATATATATATAACGTGTTTTTGAAGTTTTGAAGTTTTTTTATTGTCAAATATTTTATAATCCGTATTAGTTTCATTCCCAGTCCACGTCACCCGAACATTATCCATTATATGTAATTGTTGTTATTTGTATATATCTAATACTAATCTTTCTAGATCTCTCCAAAGATCGGTGAATTTCTAGATCATACAAAAATTAATTTTTTAAAATACAAGAAGAATTATCAATCTTGGAACAGAAGTCTGAATATAAAGTTTAACTCTTTATAAATTGGAACATCCAAAAGAATATTTATTTGAATATTTTCAAAATAACAAAAAATATGAGGGGTATTTAAAGTAAAATAGGACAACAAAATATAATTAAATAAAACATATATATATATATACTTAGTTTAGTTGTAGCTTTTTCTTTTTTCTTTTTACAAGTACTAAGACAGCTAAACACGGGGACTGAACCAAAACGAATCTACTGTCTCTAATGAGAGCAGGCAGAGTAACGTGTCCTCCACACACGTATTATTATTATTATTATTATTATTATTATTATTATTATTATTATTATTATTCTATTTT